AATATACTTCCATGGAGCATTTGAGATCTACACACTTCAGGTTAACATTGCAAATACTTGACTACATTGCATTCATATAGCATATTGGTCGCTTTATCTCTCTCTCTTCTCCTCTATTCATCTATATGGCCGCGAATGTATACATGTAGATATTTCCACTCTCTTATAATATTTTATTTTATACGTTGTCTCCTTCGCTCTCCGAATTGTTGCTGTGCTGCTGCTCCACAGAATAAGCATTGCGCAGTCGCGCTAATCCGCAACCTTAGCGGCAGCAACAACACACAGCAACAATACAAACGGCAACACTCGAGAGAAACAGCCACACGGGAGAGTAATGAAATGAAATGAACACATAAATATCTACATACCGTATAGCATAGGTAGATATTTAGAGTGAAGGAATATCGTCAGTTTTTTTTCTTCCTTCTTTCCCTCTCTTTTTTTCTGTATAAGCGAGCGACGAGGGAAGAAGACTATAGAGAAAAACGAGTTTTTTTCTCTTCATCTCTCAACAATCATTTTCTTTTCCTTTTTCCCCCCCTTCTCACACATCCTTGCACCCCACCAACGAGCCATCGACTTCTCCTCATCCTCCTTCGCATCCTCCTCCCTTCCCATTCCCCCTTTTGTCATCATCTACCCACTTTATCCAACTGACGAATGCTCAATAGTATTCTTCTCTTTGTTGTATGATCTCTCCCTCTCTCTCTTTCTTTTTCCCTAGATTGTTTATTGTGTATGTGTTATTTTACATTATTTTTCTGTCTCCTTTTTTGTCTCTAAATAAAATATCAATAAGCCAGAAGAGAAAAGAAAATGAGACCGAGAGGAGAAGCACTGAACAGAAGAACAAAAAAAAAAACCGACAAGAAACTCGCTTTGCGTCTCTTCAAAATTTTTTGCATGTAATTTTCTTATTTTTTTTCTTTCATCAATCTTACACACAGCAAAAGCACACAATCTACAAATTTCAATAAATGCCATTCAATCTTTTTCTCTCACACACAAATTAACTATTATAGCAACAACAAAAAAAAAAAAACGATGTTGGAGGGAATTTATTGAAATAATACAGAGAGAATCATATGCTCAAGCAGTGATTGCACAAGCATAAATTTCCCGCTGACTTTGTGAAAATAATAAAATATGCTTATCATATTGATGACAAAAACAAACTGGGGCAGAAATCTGTGGCACTTCATCGTGTGTCAGAGCGTTTGTAAATGAACAAGAACACGTGGGAAGCGGCGAGACTCAAGATCTTGACAAATTCAGCAATAATTTCTTATTATTATTATTATTATTCAATTCAGAGCAACAAATATACACCGTTATCAATTGATAATAATGAAGCGATTGCGGGAAAGTGTGAAAATTACCTCGCTTCGGGAAACACAGACATAATGAAGCAGTTAAAGGATCATAAAGAGATTTTCGAAAAGGTCAGAAAGAGAGTTCAAAACACTGTTCAATGTGTGGCGAGTGGATAATGGTCGATCAGAGCAATAAAACACGTCACACTTGTGCCTCTTTTTTTTCCTCCGCTTCTGCCCATGAGCACTTTTTCCTGCGTCTCACACATTCTGACATCGAAATTTTAGTGCCGCACAAGAGTATGGCAATATGCAGAAGAAGAAATGGGATTTGTAGATTACGCAGTGTATGTAACATATATAAAGGTTATGTACACAACATCTTAACACTATCTCTTCCTTCACCATTTTTCCGCCTAAAGAGACAGTTGAGATGGAAAAAAGCATTGAAATGCACATTAAATACATACTTGCATACACACTTCATGACGAATCTCTCTCGGATTCTCTACACATCAAATATAAGCCCATTTCCACTGATAAGACCAAATTGTATATAAATTGACAAATGAAAAATGTTTCTCACAACAATGGAGAACACACGACACAGACAAAGGCGAAATAGTGCTCTTCCTCTTTCATTTCACATCAGCAATTGTGTCTTTTCTTCATGTTTAACATGGCCCACATATAGTAAAGAGTATTTCTAAATAATCTTCTCCTCCATCCCTCTTTCTCTTCACATCCTTTTCTCTCTCTCTCTCTCACTCTCTCTGTCTCTCTACTTCTTCATCGCCCATTTCATCCAATTACAATGTCTCTGTGCACAACTCTCAGATAAATATCATTCCAATTAAACCACATGAGAGTTTCAGGAAAACCCCAAGCGACCAATAAATATCTCCAAAGCATGGGACTTCAATTCAATGAGCAGCAACTCAAGCTGTTGACGGAAAAAAGGGTCTGGAAAATATTTTACAATTCAACACATTCCGAATTTCAACTAATCTCAAAGGAAATTCTACATTTTTTGACTCTCTTTCACTCTCTTTCTCAAAACTCATGTGATAACACATCTCATTGCAGGAAGTGAAGATTGTGAGGGAAAGAAAACTCGTCATTGCTTTGCTTGCACATCGATTTTCAATTGAGCATATTGAACACTTATACACATTGTATTGATCGCTATCACAATGAGACACACACACACAATGGGACAAAGTGAAGAAAATCTCTCAAAATTCATATAAAGACTTCAACATTACACACTCCCAATGGAGTCCTCAATTGACGACCATCTGCAGAAAATTTATTCCAAGAAACTGTGATAAGGGGAAAAAATTGGTAAATTCGATTGAGTTACAAATTCCTTCCACCACTCTCTCTCTCTCTCTCTCTGTGTAGATAACACAGCCAACTTCCACACAATATATATATGGTGAAAACCACACACATCGAAATTGGGTCAGCAAAAATTTCAGTTTCCCAAGTTGAATAAGAAATATACTGTTGAATTTGCAACACTAAACGGAGTGAAAAGAAAGTCCAATTTCCATTACTCAACACTTTCTTCATACGTCAGATCAGCACTTTTACAGTTGATACATTTTGCCGAGGAGACTCAATAGATGAAATTACATATAAGCTAAAAATATCAACCCATATGATTTATTGAAAATGATAAACTCTGTCGATAGAGTGGAAAAATTATGTTACAATTTTAAACTCATGATATCACACACAAGGCGCCTTATCACGGAAAACAAATAAAATGAGCAAAAAAAACGGCTATATTGAGAAGTTAAACACAAAATGATACGGAAATTTCTTACGAACATCAACATTCTTCAAGTTAGAGAGGAGAACAACAGAGATAGTGACATTGGCGTGATAGAGATATAAAATTTCTATACTCCCCATCGCGCGCACACCGCCCATGCCGCCACCTTTCTCATCCATCCATCCATACAGTTTCTCATCTATCCTTGGTCGTCAAAAGTGTACACATGTGAAAATGTACATAATACTTTATATGGTACGATAATGATAATGTGCGATAAGAGTAATGTTGTAGCTGTGAACAAGTGAATTTGCGATTAGCACTAATTCGTCCACAGAACCCAATGTGAGAACAAAGTGCAGAGTGGCGGATGAAAATCATGCAAGCAGCCGCGATAGGCGCGCGCGGACGCTTTTTAGCTTCGATCACAACACACTCTCTCTTGGAAATTACAAGTGTCATCGAGTAATGTGCCGCGGCGCAACATTGCGACAATTTCCCACCGACCTTTTTCCTCCTCGTGCGCGCCAATATCAATCGCCTCTCTGTCGCTTCTTCTTCTTCTTCCCCATTTGTCTCTCTCATTTCCCAGGCCCAAATCACAACAAACACAGCGCGCGCCCACCTTGCGTGATCGCACTGTGAATTTATACATTGTCTCTAAGACTCGGACTTAAACACTAAAAACACTCTGCACAGCAAATTTCAAGACAATTTTCATGTCTATCTCTCGCTCTCTAAACTTCCACACCACATTCATTGTATTAATTTTTTTGTCTGCCTCCCAATGCTCCATTCCCTACTTATCGTCACTCACTCATTGTTGTGCTTGTCCGATGGTGTTACGAAACTCCTTAAGATGTTTTTAGTCAATTAACGGTTTGGTTTGTCAAGTTTGAGAGGCAACTTTTGCGAGATTTCGATAGTGAGAGAGACCCAAAAAGCTCACTCACGGGTGTCGGAAAAAATGTAATAGAGCATGGGAAGTGGTCATGAATGAAGGCAGAAATAGGCAGAATGACCTCCGTGACCTCTAATCCTTGTATTTTGCTACCTGCACCCTGTTTACCGGGAGTGTAACCATCACAACCTTATCAATAATTCAAGGTTACTTCTCCCAAACCGCCATTCTCGGCTCTCCTCGAGCCGGCCCAAAAAATCTAGGACGGCGGCGGCGGCGCCCTCACCCCGCGACCCGCACAGATGCATGTGTAATTGAAGGAGTGCCCCGGCTGAAATAGACGACACCCGAGACTGAAAAGTCATCCCCTTCGGAACACAACAAATAAAGAAACAAGGCGCGCAGAGAGGAGAGGAAAAATGTAGAAACTGAGAGAGAGAGACACGAAAAGTGCGCGGCATTCAATTCATTCGACCGGCATATTTCGCTCTTTCTCCTAACCCTCCTCATCCAATTCTCCTTGCCTTTCATTCGTGACTCACAACCACATTTTCACACTCTTTCTCGTCCTCTCCCTCTCACTCGGGCATTCTTGCTCGCTCGTGTCTTTCCACGGCCCCGCTTCCTGCCACCGCGCGTCTCGAGCAGCATGCAACAATGGCTTTCCGGGAGTTGATGATGAATATATTAAAGAGACAGGAGGGATAGGAGGAGACGATTTTTCTCTCCGCGCGGCTCAACATCGTGTGCTGGCAAGAGAAATTACGCCACGATGCTCACTTGAATCACTTCTTTGGTCACATCGAGGGGGGAGGGTGGGGGGCAGGCAGGCCAAGGCGAGTGCGAGCGAGAGAGACGCAACACTGTGCTCGCTGGACTCTTTCGCCGCCTCTCTCTCCGCCAGCTTTCGCGGCGCGAAGGAAAGGTAAGAAGTCTCGCTAAATTGATGGCTATGCGCGGAGTTGCGATGGGAAAATATGAGCATGGTGTGCGGTTCACTTACCTTCACGAAAAATAATTGCAATTGCCGCTAATTCGTCAAACTGGCCGATCAATGAAGTGCGGCTGAGGGAAAATATGGCTCCACGCGTGTGTCTCTGCCAAGTGCGGAATGGCGCGTCTCCTCTGTTCTCCTCTCCTCCGCCACCCGATACTCCACACTCACTCACACACACACTCACGCAGAGACGCGCTCCAGTCCTGGCCAGCGGTGGTGCTCTCCCAAGGGATGGTCCGGCGTTCAGCACTGGACCGCCAACACTACTGTCGATGCCGCGAAAATGTCCTCACGCCGAAACGGTGGCTTGCACGGTGATCCAGCGGGCGGCCGATGCGGCGAGGAAACGCCAGAAGACTTTGCTGCTCCTCTTGGGAAATGGAGGCGCACAAAATACACCACACAACTTTCAGCCGCTTCAACCACAATTCCACCACAAATCACTACTCAGGAGGCAACAGAATCGATTCACAAACAAATACAACGCACTTTTTCACTCAATATCGCCGTAATTCCTGTGGATTTGCAGCTTTTCTTGCACCAGAAGAAGCGTAATCCAAAATGGTGGCTTGACAAGACGATGACGCCGAACAATTTGACAACCCCACAACTCGCGAGCGGCCATGCCTAGGGTTGCCAGCCGCGCGCTCCGAAAATGCCCACCGCGCGGGCTGCCCGATGCGAGAGGAAGCGGAATAACGCCCACACCGTGCCTTCGGAAAACGGCCAATTTTTCCCAGCTTCCAGCGAAATCCACACTGCGGGCGCGAGCGATTGCTCAAAATAATAGGAAATTCAAATTGTGCAGCGAATGCTGGCCGTATTGCAGCTCTCTTTCGCGGATTTTGCTCCGTCGTCGTCGAAACTCATCGATTGCACTCCGAAAATTGTAGTGCTCATCGAAATCAGCTGTCAGGGGCAGTGTTTTGCGTCGCAAGAATTTTTCTGTGCAAGAAGATAAAGGAGACTCGCCAATTGATTGAGATTTTCTCACTGTACTCCTCTTGAATCGACCCATGATGTCCGAGGTGAAAGCCATGGAGCATCCAACACTTAAGGTGAGTGTGAATATCCAGCTACAAATCCGCTTTTGGTGGATTTGAGGGCACTTTTCCCGAGCGAGGTCACTTGCTGCCATTTCGTCAAAAAAACAATCGCTCCACCGATTTTCTGGCTATGATTGTGCAGTGGAATTTCTATTTTTACATCTGAATTGTGGAGTTTTCCTTTCTCTCTCACAATAATGTCGTCTCACCCGTCCGCCCCGCCCTCAGGTTCCGTACGAGATACTCAACAAGAAGTTCCGAATTGCCCAGAAGACACTGGACAAAGAGCTGAGCCAGATACAGAACGTGGCTTCGGAGTTGGAGAAGGGCCTGGCGAGTGGATCCGCTGGGGAGATATCCCGCCTGCTCGGTGGTGTGGTGGAGCGCCTGCAAGTGCTGAAGCGGAAGGCTGAGGAGAGCATTTCGGAGGAGATCGCCGCGGGCTATGTGTGCAAGCGTCGCCTGGAGCACCTCAAGCAGAATGTCGTGGCGAATCCCGACGTGGAGGTCCAGATGGCGGCCACGAATCAGTGGAAGAAGACGCGCCTGGATCGCATGATTGTGGAGCACTTCCTTCGCCTTGGCTACTACGAGTCCGCCGAGCGACTGGCCATTCGCAGTGGAATCCGCGACCTCACCAATCTCGACATCTTCCAGACGTCGCGCGAAGTGGAGCAGGACTTGGCAAATCACAAGACCACCAAGTGCATGGTGTGGTGCAATGACAACAAGTCCAAGTTGCGCAAGATCAGCTCCAACATTGAGTTCCAGCTGCGCCTGCAGGAGTTCGTGGAGCTGGTGCGCCAGGACAGGCGGTTGGACGCCGTGAAGCACGCGCGGAAGTACTTTCCGGACTTTGGCATGGAGCAGCTGAGGGAGATCCGACAGTGCATGGGCCTCCTGGCCTTTCCCGTCACCACCGAAATCGAACCCTACAAATCGCTCTTCGACCCGCAGCGATGGAACGACCTCGTGCTCAATTTCCGCATGGAGAACTATCGCCTCTTCCAGCTGGCCACGCAGTCAGTGCTCAGTGTGGCCGTCCAGGCGGGCCTGTCCGCGCTCAAGACGCCGCAGTGTTACTCCATTGGCTCAAAGAACATCAGCTGTCCCGTGTGCCAGGAGAACTTCAACGAGATCGCAGAGAATTTGCCATATTCTCACTGTGCCCAAAGCCGCCTCATTTGCCGTGTGACGGGAAAGCCACTCAATGAGCACAACTTGCCCATGATGCTGCCCAATGGACAGATTTTCGGACAGCAGGTGAGCAAAAATAGCCCCTAAGAGATCGATAAAAATATCAACTTTTCAACACACTTTATTCTTGCTCAAACAAAGAGCGTTTTAACTCATCTTCTGTTCCTTAATTTCTCTTATTTACACAACTCTTTAGCCAATACTTCATCTGAGTCTTCTTCTCCTTCTTGCAGGCTTTGCCACACATCACAAAAGAGAATGGCATAATTGTGTGTCCCATCACAAATCAGACATTTTGTCAGCCAAAAATCGAGAAGGTCTTCGTCATGTAGGTTTTCTTTTCCCGATCAAATCTCCTGTGACTGTGTGACGTTGCGCGGTGTCCAAGAGTTTAGAGAGAGAGAGTGAGATCTCCTCGGAATAATATCATTTATTGGTAATAAAACACTTAAGGCTTTTTCCTCCCTCATATTTCTCGAGTAATAAGATAAGGAGCAAAAATCTATTCAAATCGTATAAGAAGCAATTTTTTTTTGGATTTACAATGTATGATTTTTTTCTATAAGTTTCTATAAGAGTTAGAATTTTATTTCTCCTGTCAAAATTATAACTTGTTATTAAATTCGATATCGTAAAAAATTTAGAAATTATTGTTAGAAAGGTAAAAAAGAGAAAAAAACGTGAGTTGAAATGATTGAAATGACAAAAAAAGACAAATTTATGGGTAGATTTAAAGAAGAAAAAAAGGCAAAGTGAAATTTACTGGATTTACCTCTTTGACGTGACCATAATTTATTTCTTTCTCACACTTGTGTCCACACTGTGAGCATTTTAAGAATACATTTAAGTACCCTCCCCATCTTTTTGTATAATGAAATCTCATCTCTTATGAATAAACATATGAGATATTGTGAAATAACTCCATTTTATTTCTTTCTACTGCCGTAAATTTATTGACTATATTGGCATGGAAAACACCGGCCACGGGTTGAATTAGAAGAAGTTCTTGAACACGGACACAACGGCTCTCACCCACCTCGGGATATTCCGCCGTGTGATCTCTGACTCAGCCGCCGTGCCCAGGCGATAGAGATTATTGCACTCGTCCTCGAGGCGCTTCTGCAGCTCCACGTTTTCCGTCACGATGCACACTTGCGTCTCCAGGTCACGATTCACGGAGCGCTCGCCGAAGTTGGAGGAGCCAATGAGTGTCATCGCGGGCAGGCTGGAGTCGGGCAAGTAGTACCACAGTCCCTTGGCGTGATACGTCCATCCGGGCAGTTGATACTCGAAGAGACTCACGCGGTGGTCTTGCTGCGCTCGCGTCAGTTTCTCGTGGAATTGCCTCGCGATGAGCGTGTAAGCGTCTGGGATTCCTCCGGCGGGTCCTTTGGCGCCCTTAAAACCGTTTGCCTGCAAGAAGCACTCGCTTAAGTCCCCCGAAAATCGCCACTTTTTATCGAATGGACTCACATTTGGATGAGCCATCAGGATTGCACACTCAGCCTGGCAATCCGTGATGCTGTTCATGTACTCTTGGGTGAGATTGAAGTATCCAGTGGCCATCCGGATGCGAGATCCGCACTGAGAATTTTGGAATATAGCCTTCGTCACTACGCTATCGTGATGAATCCCAAGCTGACCCATCTCAATCACAGGGAAGATCCACGTGTCTGCATCTGGAGAGGGAGAACAAGAGTCACAAATCAAGACAAGAACTCTGAATATGGTCTCAATGAACCTGTTTGAAAGTTAAGAGCACGATGGAAACATATATTTTTCTTCAAAATTAACCACAAATAGAGAACAACTTTGATCAAGAATGTACTTATTTGTGAAACATTAAAAGCAACAAGCTCAATTTCATTGCCTCAATCTTCAAAAGTGTGACATGATTTTGGAAAGCAATATAGAGATCTTAATCGCATTTTAAATGAGTGAGAATTTTTCATACAAAAAAGAAATCTATAAATACACAAAATTCAATCATTAATTCATTTTCACTTTTCTCCATTGCCGAAACAGAGTGAAGCAGTGCATTTTGCTTGTTGTTTGCAGCGAAGATCGAAGAATTATGCAATTATTGCAGAGTTTAGCAACTTCTTTCGCGTGTTCATTTTATCGCCTGCATTCGTTGTAAATGTATTATTAATGCTCATGTCGCTCATGTATTATGACTATTTTTTTCACTATTCATTCACATATATATTGTGAGCCTTGTGAGCAGTGTGAGTCATCCCTTAAGAAAATCAATACAGTGGAAATGCATTTTGGCACTGTTTTAGCGAACTGCGACGCTCCGTCTCTCGAGCTATCAGGGTTGAATGTCTGCCCAACTTGACCCTGCGATACTCTGTTAGCGATAAAATGTATGCCATTACCTGACTCCGAGTCAACAGAATTCTTTTGTCGTTCGACAACCTCGCTGAAGTATGAGAAGATCCTATTGCGCGCCTCCTGCACGAAGTCATTCTGGCTGCCCTCGTATGGCCAGTGAATCCAGGATGGATTCAGCTGCAATTGTGCGTCCTTCGACACCTGCACACTGAACTCCTGCACCTTGCCCACAAGTCCCGCATAGAAGTCCGCCAGAGACTTGTTCTCGATCATGATGTAGCGATCCTGGCGATTCGTGAAGTAGTCAGTGGACAGATTCGCTCCGCTGATGATGACGGAGTTATCGAACAAGTACACCTTCATGTGCTGCAGCCCAAGGAGTTCATTCCACCGCGGCGGGGCGAGCTTCTTGGTGATGCCACGCAGAGCGGGAGTGTGATAGAGGGACAAGCTCACATTGTCACTCTCCTCAATCAGTGGCATTATCGTGGTTCTCGAGCTCACTTTTCCGCGCGTGCCACGCGTGAAGTCCAGAAGAAAGTCCACCTCCAGCTTTTTGTTCTCACGCAGATTCTCGCGCAGCACAGAGATCAGCTTCGTTTCCAGCTGCCCGATGCCCAAGTACAGACTCGCGAGGATGATGCGTCGCTTGGCGGAGGCGCACTTGGACAGGACGGTCTCGTAGAATACTCTCGGGTCGTGGATCACCGTGATGCAGTCGCCGCGGACAGGGAAGCACGGGGCGGCGGCGTGGAGCCAGGAGAGGCTCTGCAGACGCGGATTGGAGAACTGTCGCCCGGGCAGCGGTGCTGGCGAGGGCAGAACTTCCGCCGCCTGACCCTGCACGGGCTGTTCAATGAATGTCGCAAATAGGCGACGAATCATCTTCAGAAGCTGCAGTATCAAGAGCGGCCAGCTGCAAGGGGAGACACACATCAGTGGTTGAGTGGCCGGGAAATCATTGTGCAATAGATTGATGTGTTAGGAAAATTGCATGCAAAAAAGTACAGGGAGAAAAGTACCTCAAGAGAAAATCCATTATACTCATTATTACCTCGAGAATTTAGCTATACTCAAATACCACTGTGACCAATGACACGGCTACTGTGCGAATCATGTCGAATTTATCGTCATCGTGACGCTATTTGATGCAAAAATGCGGTTTTTAGAAAGGCCTCGCAGGTCCAACGCACGCTAATTACATATGAAAATACTCTGCATGGTGACAGCACGAGCGGGAAAAGTGGGGTTATATCCGTGTTGGCGGGAAGTTTTTTGATTTATCGAAATCTCTTATCGACATGTGTAACGGATTTTCCGCTTGCATGCGATCGTTTGTTACCCCAAATGAACATTTTTAATTGCACTTCATCACCAATCATCCGTGTTCACAAGTTATCACACACCTCTAAATTGGAATAATTAGTCATTTTTCTGCCAAAGTTGAGCACAATATTTCATGCCAGTCAGACACTCTGTGAATTGTATTCAAGACAATAAAATTTCATTTGATGGCATAGAATGATTGGGAAAATGTGCAATTTTCTAGGGAAAGGTCAATACGATGCCACTTCGCACACATTTTATTAATTCAAACACTCTCAAAATCCATTCAATTGTAATTTTTTACACTCCTCTAGGTCACATGCTCGGAATCTCTACGTAGAATTCACCATCATTCCGATTGCACTCATCAACCCTGTACCATTTACTGCGAAATAGAATCGAAAAACTTCTCCACAACTCGCCGAAACGCCCAATAATTATTCCAATTAAAAGCACACCATCGACTCATCATATCGCAATCCACATTTCTCACTGGCTAATGTATTTCGAGAGTGAGCAGAGAGTCAAAAGAGTGTGATTTTTTACATGATCTTGCTTACAGAAACCGTTAGCGATTTTCCTCACAGATATATTCTCCAAAAGCCCAACCCGAAAATATTCCATAAATCACTCTCCTCGCAGCTCAATGGTCGCATTGAGAGTGAACAACAATTCTATGCTTCAGCTGAAGACATTGCAACACCTGAACACCTTCAGCGAAGCTGTGAAGTTCAAGAGTTCGGCAGCCTAAACAATTATGCTGGGAGACGCGTGGAAAAATCTCCAATTTGATCTGATTCACGGAAATTATAGACACTTGAGTGAAGAAATATTTGTACGTTCAAAGCATAAATATTCACGGCAAAAAGTGCTTAATTGCTCATCAGATTCAGCATTAGAATGACCATTTTGTTCACCTTGATTTTCACTGTGTGTTAACATAACGAGAACTTTGTTAAACCAGTGATTTTCTGATCAATCTCAACCTGCGTCGACGCACAAGAGTCACTCCCAATTCGACAGTGTTGTTCTATTGAGTTTCTCTAGTTCGTAAAGCAAAATTTCAAGTTGTTTTAGAGCATTTCTACCTTTCTCAACATGTGTTCCTGTACTTGTTCACGCTGCACAGCCTTTATTGTTGGGTAATATTTGAGTATTTTGTTGTTAAGTCATCAGAACAATGATAAACATGAATACATGCTTGTCAATTTGCTGAACACTTTCCCTTTCCCCACCTTATTTATGTTCTTTCTGCTGAGTAACCACAAAAATCATTTAAGAACACAATTGTAGATTGAACTCTGTGGAGGTTACAGAAATCCATCATTTCTACAGCATTTTTTGGATTCACTTACTATCATTTTTATACAACAGTGATTCATGGAAAGAAATTAATTCTCTGTGTGTGATTAAAAACACATCAGATCATTGAGAATTGCGTGCTCTAATCATTCACTGAATTCTTTCACTTTTCTGCTTTTCAATTTATTGTGTGTTCATAAAGAATTTTCTCCCGAGGAGCATTTCTGATACTAAACAGTAAACTATTATTACTGCAATTGATTACTAATTAAGTAAACTCTTGCTGTGTGCATATGAAACATGAACAAGAGCCCAAATCTAATTAGGAATCGAGTTGGAAAACGCACTTTACAAATAAATACTTGTGTCGTGTTATTTTTTCCACTCTTCGCAATCACTTTTTGATTATGAAAATTAATATATTGAACATCTATTCGATTTCAAAACCGAGATAAACACTCAGATTTAGTAAACTGCGTTGCCCTCGAAAGTCTGGATGAGTTTCTTTAGTCAGCATTATGGCAAAGAGAAGAGGGAGAAAGCTTGTCATGAAAAATCGCCGTGATTCCTGGAAATGAATAAGAGCGCGCGATCATATTCCACAAAATCATGAAAATAAGTTCTCTCTACTTCACTGTGTGTCTCATGCACACATTAATTCGTATATCACGAGCTCTGGAAGCAGCCTTGACCTTAAAAAGTTCCTCAGAACTCTTGCGCAACAGTGCATCAGGCGATGCGTGGTCTCCCCGGGGAGCCAAGAGTGGATGCGTCTTGCGTGGAAGACATGCAGAAGTTCATCAAACCTGAGTGTCTACTCGCGGCTCCCGGTTCTCCTACGCACAGACGCTGCGGAGTCGTCGACTTGTAGAAGTTCTGGCTGCCACGCGACTCACCCGGCGGGAGAAAGGGCGGCGGCGGTGGCGGCGGAGAGAGTAGGAGAGAAAGAGCTCAGAATGAGAATCAGATATACGAGTTTTAACGGGCAAGGTGGCCACTCGAGTGGGGATCGGAGACTCTATAAAAGCCGCCACGGCGGTCAGACTTCGACCAGAGTCTATCGAGGTGTTTTGCGGAGTTCTCTCTCTCTCTCTGGCTTCAGTGCAGGAGTGAAAAGTGTTTTGCCCAGGATTTGTGGGTGTTTCCAGTGAAATAGAAGCAGGAGAAATGTGAGTGATTGTGACCAGGAGAATCTCAGCCAATTTGCACCTTTCCACATCACACTTCATTGCACACGTTCATCGACAGGGAGTTCAAAGAGTGTGATTAACTATGGAGGCAAAATCATCAATCAATCATGAGCAATTTGCATCGTTTAGCATTTTACACTCGCCGCAAAAGTACAGTTTTTGGCGGCAAAAGTTTGTGTCGCGTGTGACGATTGGCATGAAACTGGAATCGTGTATTCCTTGGCGCCAGTTATTTATTATTATTCCTCATATAATGTGCATTTATGTAATAATCTTTGGCAATCGTGAAATTATTTACAATAGTTGTAAATGCTTTCATGACCCAAATGTACTGGTGTCGAGTAGATAATCTATCTATGAAAGAAATGCAGGCCTTTTCACTCTAATTTCGCTGGAAATTTGATGAGTATTATTAGAAATGCATGTAATATCCTGAAAACATGCTCCGTGGGTTAAGTAAGACATTGCATTCTTCACAATGTTTGATATCAAAGAGCTGCACGAAGTTCAGTGGAAAAGTCCTCCAACATGAGATGGTGTTTTTTTTTTCGTTAGCTGTGGGACAGTCAATGCATGTCAAGGTGGATATTTTTGCAGTCGTCATAGTTGTGTGGAGTGGAGCAATTGGTGAAATTGGCGAGAGGACACAAAAGGTGTCTCTCTGTTGGTGAACTTGGCAACCCCTTTGAAAATGCGTGTGATTGGATTTGGCGCACATTTTCCTCCGCGTCTTATCACTTGCTTTTCCAATTTCACAGCTGACTGGCTAATCATGTCTCACGTGAGGTCTCTCCTTGTGCTCCTGTCACTCGTCATCTTCATCACTGCCATGAAGATTGACATCAAGGAGGAGATGCCTTACCGCCTGCCGGGTGACATTGTTCCTGAGAAGTACAGGCTCACGGTTGTGACACACATGAACGACGACGAAGGATTTCGCTTCACCGGAAAAGTGTGGATCAAGGTAAGGAAAATCCATCAATTATATCCACATCACATCTCATCCTGAGGTCATTCGCATTGACATTCTCGGGAGGAGCGCGCCACGCCAGCCCGAAAATTGTCGTTCAGATGTGTAAGCAACGCTGAACTGGTTTGATGTGCTTTTGGAAAGAAGAAAACAAACACAAGTCCATAGATGCTTATTTCCCAATATTTTGCCGCTTTTTATATATTGTAGATTGAATAATAATATGCAGAGAATACAACGTGTGGTTGAAATCAGAGTTCATACAGATTCACGTTCAAAATATCAGGGAGTTATCACACTAATCGACACTTATCGATACGGATTGCGTGCAATTTCCTCTCTTTAACACAATTTTAAAGGAAAAATATGACTGATCTAGGCCAATTATCCCTTAAACTGTCGATTTTAACTATTTTTCCTCTAAAAGTGTGTTTTTTAAAGAGGAAATTACATGGAATCCGTGTCGATAAGTTCAAAGGAAAAAGAAGAAAGTGGAATAAGGCGCTCAAATCATGAACCAGTAAAGATGGATTTTGTGAAATATGAAGACAAATCAACCAATCGACATTTTCAGTGATCTTTTTATTGAAAACAAGAGCATTTTCCCCACAAGAAACAACGAATGATATTAGAAATTAAAAGCTCTATCATGCGTCAATAAGTGTATTGAAAAATGCGTTATGCGTCGTTAATATTGGCTCAATTGTCGTGAAGTATTTCACACACTTTATTCTAAAAATAATATTGATTGATTTATTTGGTGTGAATCGTTTGAATTGTAATTTGAAACATGCATGACGAAAAATAATTGCGAAAAACTCATATGATAATATCAATGAACATTGAGCACATTTCTAGGCCAAATGTTATTCAACTTGATTGTTCGCTCTGCAGTCGCACTATCGGCTGGCTAAACCTCCAGAAAGTTCACAAGAGTTTTAGCATTTCATTACTCGGAATGAAATCGAGCATGTAAAATTGATTTAACATCGATCTGATCGTGACGTAAGGCGCGAATAATAAGAGAATTGAGTAAAAGTATGGATTGATATGTTCGATTAGAAGTGTGACCCTGGATCACTTCGTTGAACCTAAATGCTAATCTCTCTGATTGTATAGATAATGCCGATCAAGCCAGATGTGCCGGTGATTAAGCTGCACTCAAAGAAGCTGAAGATTCGCTTCGGTGAGATCAAGTTGCTGCAGTGCGAGGACAACAGTCCGAAGAAGACGAAGATCAAGATTCTCAAGGCTGAATTGATTCCGGAGAATGACTTCCTGGTGATCCATCCGGAGGTGACGCTGGAAAAGGGGCGCGTGTATGAGCTGTACGTCCCGTACGAGTCGGAGCTGAACAGTGACTTGGTTGGCTACTACAAGAGCAGCTACTTGGACAAGAAGACGAAGGAGAAGCGCTGGCTGTCCATCACCCAATTCGAGCCAACCCACGCGAGACAGGCGTTCCCATGCTTCGATGAGCCCAACATGAAGGCACGCTTCGAAATTAGTCTGGCGCACGACAAGAAGTTCACGGCGCTGAGCAACATGCCGCTCAAGTGGTCGGAGCCATTTGATGGGAAGAGTCACTGGGTGTGGGACCACTTCCAGGAGTCCGTGCCCATGTCCACGTACCTCGTGGCCTACAGCATCAACGACTTCCACTACAAGGAGTCCTACGTCAAGATGGTGGACGACGTGGTGTTCAAGATCTGGGCACGTCCCGACGCCATCGACCAGGTGGACTATGCCAAGTACGTCGGTCCGAAGGTGCTCAAGTTCTACGAGGACTACTTCGACATCAAATTCCCCCTGCCCAAGGTGGACATGATCGCGATTCCTGACTTCGGGGCCGGAGCCATGGAGAACTTCGGCCTGGTCACGTACCGCGAGACTGCCCTGCTCTTCCAGCCCAACATCTCGTCGGCCAGCAGCCAGCATCGCGTGGCCAGCGTGATCGCCCACGAGCTGGCGCATCAGTGGTTCGGCAATCTCGTCACCATGAAGTGGTGGACGGATTTGTGGCTGAACGAGGGCTTCGCCACGTACATCGCCAGCCTCGGCGTGGACCATCTGCATCCGGAGTGGAACTCCTTCGAGGAGGAGAGTCGCGACAACATCCAGACAGTCTTCATCTTCGACGCCCTCAAGTCTAGTCACCCCGTGTCTGTGCCCATTGGCCATCCTGGCGAAATATCGCAGATCTTCGATGCCATCTCGTACAAGAAGGGCTCCACAATTCTGCGCATGATGCACAAATTCCTGGGCGATGAGGCTTTCCGCAATGGCGTGCGTCACTATCTCAAGAAGCACAAGTACAACAACGCAGAGCAGGACGATCTCTGGGACAGTCTGACCTACGAGGCGCACAAGATCAAGGCCCTGCCAGAGGAGTTCAGCGTGAAGAAGATCATGGACTCGTGGACCCTCCAGACGGGCTTCCCCGTCATCACCGTTGATCGGGACTATGAGAAGGGCGTGGCGAAGATCACGCAGGTGCGCTACTTGCTGGACGCGAAGCGCGAGAAGGAGTTCCTGGAGACTTGCTGGTGGGTGCCGCTGAGCTACACCACGAAGAAGGAGATGGACTTCAATGCCACAGAAGCGAGACACTGGCTCAAGTGTGAGGACGACTACAAGCCCCTGCCCAAGGTGATCAAGGAGATGCCGCCGCCAGAGTACTGGGTCATCTTCAACGTTCAGCTCTCCGGGCTGTACAAGGTGAAGTACGACAAGAAGAACTGGGATCTGCTCATTGATCATCTCACCAGTGAGAAGTTCACAGACATTCACACCCTCAATCGTGCTCAGTTGATCGATGACGCCCTGGATCTGGCCTGGAGTGGCGATCAGGAGTACTCCATTGCTCTGCGCATTGTGGAATATCTGAAGCAGGAGCGTGAGTATATCCCATGGAAGACTGCCCTGGAGAACTTGGCGGCGGTGAATCGCATGCTGAAGCGCACGCCACAGTATGGCTTCTTCAAGATGTACATGCGGAAGGTGCTGACGCCCATGTACAAGCTCATGGGTGGCATTATGAGTGACAAGAAGGCGTCCGATCGTCTGGACGCGGTCAAGCACAAGATCCTCATCACCAGCTGGGCTTGTCGCTTCGACGTGGCCGATTGTCGTGAAGAATCTGTGATGCTCTTCAAGAAGTGGATGCACGAAGAGGAGCCCGACTTCAAGAATCACATCCCCATCGACATGCGTCCAGTTGTCTACTGCAATGCCATTCGCATGGGCACGGAGCAGGAGTGGAACTTCCTCTGGGAGCGATATCTCAAGAGCAACGTGGGCACGGAGAAGAACATGATCCTCAGCTCTCTGGCGTGCAGTCGCGATGTGTGGATTCTGTCGCGCTATCTCGAGTGGTCGTGCCAGGAGGAGACTGGCGTGAGGAAGCAGGACATGCCCGCCGTCTTCAGCAGCATCGCCCACACCGAGGTCGGCTACCATCTGGCCAAGGGATACTTCTACGAGAACTTCGACAAGATCTACGCCTAGTGAGTATCTTCTGTCACGATTTAATTCCTACTTTTGCTCATTTTTCCTTCCTCATTCTGTTGTTCTTCCAGTCTGGGCTCGGACACAACGAGATTGGATCGATTTGTCCGACCGCTGGCGAAGGAAATGACCACCGAGAAGGAGTTGGCTGAAGTGAGTTACTCTTTTTCCCCTCTTTTCACTGGGACAAAATGCCTCTAATTCCCGATCTTTTGCACTTTCTGCAGCTGAGCAGCTTCGTGAAGGCGCACGCAAAGCAGCTGGACAAGGCGACGCAGGGCGTAAAGCAGGCGCTGGAAACTGTTGAGATCAACACTCAGTGGCAGCACAAGAACTACAAGAGCATCTCGCGTGTCCTGAAGGAATTCACGGAGCTCGAGGTCAAGTAAATTGAATAAGAGGCCCAACATTGTGGGCAGTCTTGTGAGGAAAGTGAAAAAATACATGGAAATTTTGAGAATTATTAGTTTTTATTTTGGAAAATAATATTGATCTTCTCAACCAAACAGTCGCTATAATTTGCAATTCTTCTCAAAGAAAAGAATTCTTTACACCCATTCATTTGCTCAAGTGCGGCGAAACGATTAAATTCGTTGGGAGCTGAATTTAATATTCCTCCAATACACAAAGTATTATTTTTTTCAAAAAATATACATGATATGATATATTTTTTTTAATTTATTCGCTTAATAATGGTTTGCTTGCTTCGTTCATTTAAAAATTGTTTATTTTTCTTTTTTTTTAGAATTAAACCTTGTCTCATCATCTAGTAACATAGACACATTTCTCATCTCTTTTCATCTTCTTCTTCTGCTTCTCTTTAATATTGAATTATTATCTTTAGTCGTTTACTTTTTTTCACGTTTATTCCTTCCATTAAATAGAATTAGACTTTTCTCTGACGTCTTCTAAAATATATATATTTTGCTTCTTTATACTGTAAAATTTTTAAATTCAACAAAAACCATATATGTATGCGATACATGTTCAGAGACTGGAAGAGAGAAATTTAGTGGTATTTTCATCTTTTTTTTTAATTGTCTTTACCAATTCATCTGGGGTTTCTTTATCATCTTCTTTTTTCTTCAAATTCTTACACATTATGACCATCTCAATATATGTATACTTCCTCTTAGTTTTCACAATGCTAAAGATATATAAAAATTAGTTCGTAAATGTTTAGCTCTATACAAAGTATTATGTACTTCTTCATCTTTCTTCTTCTATTAATCTACAGTCGAAGCGGTGTGTATTATACTGCAGTGTAATGTCACATTATATTCTCCTTCCCTTTTTAACCGGCATTTGTTGCATCTCTTCAATTTTCTTAAAAGAAAAAGAAAAGAAAAACACTGCGTCCTCAGTAGTATTTGTTAAGAATTCTTGTTGGTCCAAATCTACTTTACAGAAGAACAGAAAGAAAAAATATCGCAATAAACGCATAAATTATGCAATTTCTATTACGTTATAAGATCCACTAATATCTATTAATGTACAGTTTTACTCTTTTTTTCATATTTTACAACATTTTATCCACTTTAAATTACTAGAACATCTTCTTGCATTTTGAAGCACACACACTTCATCATTTCTTCCTCATTAAGAATTCTTTTTTTAAGTATTTTATATCATCATCATCATCATCAATTTCTTACCTTCCCATTTTTATTTATTTTGTTTTATAATTTTGCTCAATTTCAAGATCACAATGAGAACCTATTTACAAAAGTAGACACCCTTCTATAGGCTAAATGTCCCCTTTTTTTCCTTTCTCGTAAGTTTATCGACATGCTTTTTGGCCACTTGCGGCTCATCTTACTTAATATCATTTCGTGCATAGAAGAGAAGATACGGTGTTATCATGACTTTTCGATTGGGCGATAAGAGTTCCTTGAATTCCTGCTGAGGCATCGATTTTATCTTGTCATCATCACACATGAACCAAATGGGTTCCTGGAAGCCACTCGCACTACTGCCCAAACCACCCGGAGGCCCCAAACTCGTCGGTCTCACCGCCCCATTCACATTCACCTCCGGCACAGCCTCAAGAGCCGATGCACTGCTCGCCTGTTGATCACTCAGCGCCGTGCTGTTGCTGAACTCCAGCGATCCATTGTTGTAGTTGTTGTTGCCATTGCTGTTCACCAGCACATTTCCCTTCGCATGAATGCCACAGCAATTGAGGCCCGGACATGTGGTGGCGCCCCCTTCGGCCGCCCCATTGGGCGTGATGGAATTTGCCGTCGCCACAACACTATTCCCATTCATTGCCTTGAGGTTCTTAGCCAAATCAGTACTACTGGACGCTTTGCTCCTGTTATCCGTCTTCCTCAGCCACGAATTCTTCTTCTTCATCACCATCTTCTCCAAACTACTCAGTCCACCATTGCTCTTCTCCACACCCGCCGCCGCAGCAGCCTGCTGATGCTGCTCCTGTTGACTCTGCATGAGTCGCCTCTTCTCCTTGTCACAATTCACATACTCACTGTAGGTGTCCAGTGAGCACGTGTAGGTGATGTAGTGACCCGCAGAGAGTGTAGCACCAACATGAGTTATCACACTGTACAGCTTGTACACGTGAATCTTCTTGCTCTCCGCCAGTGCATAGCACTTCCGGCAGAAGCACTGCAGCGTGAATGGTGTGGGAATGTAGCTGTTGATTTTCTCCATTCCGCCAGAGAAGCGTTTCAACTGAATGACCAGCAATCGTGGCAACACCTCGAAGGATATCGATCGTATTGCCTCTGTATAGCCAAAACACTTCTCACATCGATACTTGTTCTCACCTCGAAAGTACTCTTTGGTGATGCATGAGTTCTGCACAAGAGAGAGAAATAAAAACCATGAAGAAAAACATATTTTTCTCACTAAGAAAACTTCAGAGGCGTGTTTTCAACTCACTTGAAAGAAGAGCTGAGGATTCTCCATTGTCTCCATGGTCTCCTGCCCTGATATTGGCACCGAAATGTCAATCATTGTCTCCTTTTGCTCCGTCTCCGTTTCACACGTTAAACACTTTGTCGTGGACACGGTGATACCTTCGAAATCCTCACAGAAGAAATCCAATCCCATCATCTTGATTTTCTCATCCAACTTCTCTCTCTGTTCCTGACTCTCCTCATCCGACACTTTGCCTTTGTTCTTCGCATTCGTCGAATCCAGGGCGTCATTTATCAAATTGTCCCTGGACGGTGATTCAGGTGGTTTAATCAATTTCGACTTATCATCTTTTCGTTTTGATTTTCTCGTTAAATTATTGAGAAGCGCCTTAAATGTCTGCGTTGAATTGATCGTTGTCGATTGTGGTGGCGTCGTTTCAATTTGCTCCGGAACACTTCCACAACTGAAGGCGAAGAAAACAAAACAAGAAAACATTTCGCGGAAATGTTAATAACAATTTTGCAAGAAGAACTTATTGAAACTTACCCATTCAGTACAATGTCCGGACAATCCGATATTATTTTCGTTAATGACTGACAAGTTTCTCGAATACTGTCTAGAATACACATTAGAAGCTCGTGCGCATCTTGCTGCTGATTCCCCTCAAATGTTGAACTCACATCTTGAATTGCATTGAGAAAGTGCACTGGATGAAAGGGGTCAGCGTCGATTAATTCATTGCGATGGAGATTATGAAATAATTCATGGAGTTTCTCTGTAACAATCTGATATAGAGAAAACAATTATGTTATTAACATTTCATTGCAAATCCACCCACAATAGATCTAAATCCCAATGTAAGGGTCTATTAACAAATAATTAGATGTACTGCAGAGATAGTTTTCTTTTTAGATTCTGCAACAACTTTGCTTCAGCAGCATTAATCATGATTGTGTAGCTTTATTGGAATGCTGATAGATTGTGAATCATGCGATATTCTTCACAGGTTTCTTGAACATTCTCAAAGATTGACGTAAAATTCTACAAGTGTACAAAACACTGCCTTTTGTCACTATCCAAAAGACACGATTACATTTTCTTATTCTCCTTAAATCAATGAAATTTTATTATACAGACAAATTCTTTTCATATCACAAACACTAAACATTCTAAATATGCCACTGAAATATTTCTTCAACCAATTTTTTAGTATAAAAGACAGTCTTTCACTGATTTTATGCAACACAATCAGTAGTGTTTGGTTCTAAAATGAATTTCATTCTGATTCTATCTTGCATTTTCACTGTTGCTCTATCAGGTAATTTCTTATGGTTTATGAGAGACAAATTTCATACATTTGTCTCAATTTTTACTTAATATTTTTCTGAAATTCATTTCAGAGAGGAAATTGATCTTTAAAAATCGCCCACCACTTGTCCAGCCATACGTTATTGATGGATTACCCACAGAACTTGGTCAATTTCCCTACGTTGTCGCCGTTAAGTCCGATAATAATCTCTGTTCTGGCGTAATTATTGGTGAATATTGGGTACTAACCGCTGCCCATTGTAAAACCAGCTCCGCCTACATTGTGGCAGGATCAATTGATACCGCAATTGGTGGTCAGATGTATCAAATCAAGGAATTTATAACCCATCCAAAGTACAAACAACTCAGTTTTGATATTGCTATCATTGTTTTAAAAAAGCGATTGACTTTCTCTAAATTGATCAACAAATTACCACTTAATCAATCGGTAATTAAAGATAAATTGAACGTTGATTTGGCTGGATTTGGAAAAAGCAAAGTAAATATCAAATCAATCGAATTAGAGAATATCAAATTCAGTAATTAAATCATATTTATCTCCATTTAAGCACGATGAAGACGAATACGGGAAACTATTTCACGCAAAACTAACTACAGTGGATCAAAAGACGTGTGAAAGTGTTCTTAGAGTCAATAATGATCAAATGTGCGCGATTGGTATTACAGGAATACCATGTTCAGGGGATTCAGGCAGTCCTCTAGTCTACAATAATTCACTTATTGGCATTCTTATTTATGTAAGATATCAGTCGATGGAATTTCACGAATTATATTTAATATTTTCATTCTAATTAACAGGGTGCATCAACAGTATGTCACGACAATTATCCCGATGCCTATGAAAGAATATCATCACACTACGAATGGATCAATTCGGTGATTAAAAAATAGAAGCAGCAAATTCAATGTAAAGAAATACATGTTGGCTACTGTGCAAAATACAGAGAATAATAATCTTGCAAACATTGTGTGAAGAGAGATTGAAGAAAAAAGGGAATTGGAGATGCCGGGTATCGATCCCGGTACCTCTCACATGCTAAGCGAGCGCTCTACCATCTGAGCTACACCCCCAGTTGATCGCCTTTTCCTCAATGATCGAGTCGTGTGCCGTGCTTGAGCCACTTTTGGAGTCACCTTTCAAAATTGCACTTTCGTGTGCTTGAGACACTTTCAACACCAACAATCACGTGCTCGAACCAACCACAACCGATCACACGATTGCTGTGCAAGAAGTACATAAATGAATGGGCTCCAAAGTCAAGTGCACACACGCCCCAAATCTGCATACATTCAGGCTATAAAGTGGGGATGAGCAAAACTGATGTTTTTCATTCTCACCTGTCTATTGGATTTGGACACTTCAGATGAATTGGAATTGATGCTGAGCGACGCCAAGTCTTTGCTACTCAAACTCCGTCCGCTGGATCCCTGCAGACCGCCAACATTGCGCCCCAGCGAGGAGCTCTTGTACCGGAAGCCGAGTCGCTGATTCAGCTGATTCAAATCACTAACCAAATGGTGAAGATTGTGAAGGAAGAGTGGAGCAAATCTCAGCGTGTAGATGACGGAATTCAGATAGCAGCTGTTGCCAATATTGCTTAGCGTCGCCATCGATGAGCTATTTGTGTGGAGGAAGTGATTTGGTGCATTTGTGCTGCTCATATCGTCACTGGTGGATGTCTTCACATAGCCACCGGCCACCTCAGCAATGGCATCCGTGCGGATTTGCCGCTTATAGTCGGATATCGACATTTCCTGATCGTAGAAGTTATCAAATGTCTGCAGAACCTTACGCTGTGTGCGATTGCGCTTCTTCGGCACTACCTCAATCACTTCGATACTGTTGAAATTCTCATCACACACCGCGCGACTCTTGATCTCCTGATTCTCGCAATGTCGTCGCTTCCGCAACCGAACACCGTCCCTCAATATCGTCGGTCTTCTGCGTGTGGTCCTTGGTCGTTTCTCCACCCAATCAAGCTGGTGGTGAAACTCAAAGTCCACTTCAATCAACTTCCTCTTGTACACGTTCTCACACAATCCCGACGAAATACTTCTCCTCACGCGTCGATCCTTCTCACTTTCACCCAATGTGTCGATGACAACAGTCAAATTCTCTTTCACAACTTCACAAACACTCTTTTCAGCCAACTTCTGAGGACGATCAATGATCGAGGAATTGCTAATGTTCCGTATTGACTGGTGAAAAGGATTCACTTGGAGTTTCTGACTACACAGACATGTGTCATCTTCATAGTATTCTTTGTAGATGCAACAGGAGGATTTATGCTTTGGGCGCCACGAAATGCATTTCTCAGTACAGAAAATATCCTGAGAATCCTCGTTGTTCTCTGTCAACTCCTCAGGTGCGCTCAAATGCAAATCACAGGTGCATATAGAGGAGTTTCTCTTATTGTGAACACAATTCCGGTGACAATGATGGACTTTTATCCTCAACAGCGATTTACTATTACTGTCCTTCAGCAGACGCTCTCGCACATTAGCGATGAATCCCGATATGTCGCCAAGTTGTGCCTTTGACTTGATTCTCTTTGCATGTATCGGAAGTTTTTCCTCCTCTTCATCGGTTTCAGGTATTACCAAAACCATCTTTTGGAAACCTGGAAAGACAAATCAATTCAATTTACACACTTGTCAATTCCGACTTGAGATGTTTACTGAGATTTTTACAGTTAAATGTTCTACTGGGAATCGATACTGATGGCGTTTGCAACTTGCTCACCGTGTCTCGTGTTTCCCCCCCTTGTCAAATTGCGTCAGGCTCATCAAATTCTCCAGATATTGAGAATAATCAACAGGTTTTGGCCTTATCAGATTCTATATTTGTAGCACGACCAAATAATTATCATCTCACTGCCACGGAGGGACGTAAAAAGTGTGATTCAGTGTGTGGTGCCACTCATTTAGCGCCCCAATTCTTCTACACCTCCTCAAGCACATTCGCAGAAATATCGCCCCACGATTATAGATCACTATCGCAGCCTGACTTCAGCCAATTTCTCAGCCAGAGATGATAGAAAAACTCCTCTCCCCCCGCTTTGCAGCTCCTCAATGTGACAAAGTCATAAATACAGTTGTGAAACTGATATCACTCTCATTACTTTATAGGTGAACCATAAATATATTCTCAATGAATTCCCTCCAATCCAATTGGAAAGCTTCAATATCGCGCTTAAGATCCAACGAGAAGTTAATGTGAATAAATTTATGCTGCTGCTTCGACTAAGAAAGAGCATGAATTAATGAATTTAGTTTGCTCGCAAAACAGGTATTTTCTCACTCTGTCCTCGACTTCTTTTGGGAATCCTGAATTCCTGATCGCGTTCGCTGTCTAATAATCGCCAGTGTTGTGATTCACCACAGTTTTTTGGCCATGTGATAAATGATTGATAAGAAGCTACACACCAGAAAATCTACTCGGCACACAAATGGACAGAAACCGTGTGGAGATGTTTGCGTTTATCTTATATTTTATATTATGTACATTTATAATTATTATAATCTCCTCATTCTGTTACTACGTGGGAGGTTCCGATTGATTGGTCTGAGTAAAAATAAAATCCCATCCAACTGTGTTGCGGTCTCTGTGCGCTTTTCGCAAAACTTATTGTGCGCTTTGGGCGCCCCGGTCGTCCACCGTGAGCGGCTCACGTTTGTCCGGAAAGAGAGTGCTTGCGGGTAAACAAGTCATGCCCGGAAGACTTCCACATTGTCCGATAAATATATGAGGAAATCGGCCAGACAAGGCAATAATATCGATGCACCGTGTTGACAAACACACTCCTCCTCGCGTGCGCCTCGCCAGCGCCGCACGTGTGGGGCCCCAACAAGGTCACAGTTGAGGGTGCGTAGTGCTCCCCGAGGCTTCCCACCGATGGAGAATCCTCTAAACGCGAAAAACGCATTGACAACATGGCCTGTCAGACTCTCTGGAATGTCTCGCTTTTCTCCCCCATCAGTCTCAATTCCCAGGGGAATCCAATGCAAGAACAATCAACATGGATGGTTATATAATATTCCAGATACGTACATTACTAGATCCAGTGACATAATTAATACAAAATCGACGAATATTTTTTTAGTAAAAAAACAATACAAATCACACGTCAATTTTTCACGCCTGTTTTTCACCAACTTGCACAACTGTTCCGACACAACTTCGCTTACCAATTAGCACTAGCACTAGTCTTTTCTGTAATTTACACTCTTTAGTCCGCTTTTTCTCAAGATTTTTGCCAATTTTTACACAATTTTATCTTTCTTCGCACCGGGGAAAAATTTGACACCCCCAATCGGTTGGCTGCGGTTTGACCCGTTTCACGTACCGATTCGGCTGACTCATCGGGCAACACCGCTTCCTGCTTTCTCTTTCTGCTAGGAAATCATGGTGAGTGCCACGAATCTCGGTTTTTTCGTGAAAAAATCCACAAAAGTCGCAAATGCACAACTATTTGCATACCTCTCAACTTGTTCACACTCTGCTGCGTGGATTTATGTATTTCTATCAAGTGTTTTTCCACTATTTCCCGTGGAAATGGCTTGAGGAAAAATATAACCTCACTTGACGTCCGTCGCCGCATCAAACACTCCTTTTTCCCTGGGATTAATCATGCATTCTTGCTCATTTCAGACTTTGTACACGTACCCAGGCAACTTCCGTGCTTACAAGGCACTCATCGCGGCTCAGTTCTCTGGGGCGAAGGTGAAGGTTGCCTCCGACAGTGAGTTTGTGTTCGGCGAGACAAACAAAAGCCAGGATTTCCTGCGCAAATTTCCGCTCGGAAAGGTGAGTTTTGGAATGCAATTCGAATTGGAGTGTTCTGAGCTTCCCTGGTCGCTCCACAGGTGCCTGCCTATGAGACTGCTGATGGGCAGTATTTGACTGAGAGCAATGCCATCGCATTCTACCTCGCCAACGCGGAGCTCCGCGGAAAAACTGAGCTGCAGCAGGCTGAGGTGTGGCAATGGGTGAACTTTGCCGACAATGAACTGCTCCCGGCCTCCTGTGCTTGGGTCTTTCCCCTTCTGGGCATCATGCCGTTCCAGAAGAAAGTCGTCGAACGTGCCAAGCAGGATGCCGCCACTGCGCTGGGGGTCCTGAACACCAAGTTGACCAATGTGACATTCTTGGTGGGCGACCGAATCTCCCTGGCTGACATCTGTGTCTTCTGCACGCTGCTCCATCTGTTCGAGAACGTGCTGGACGCCAGCGAGAGGGCTCGCTACGTGAGTCTCACGCGGTGGTTCAACACGGTCCTCAATCAGCCGCAGGTGAAGACAGTGCTGACCAAGTTTGAGCTCTGCTCGAAGCCACTGGAGTTCGATCCACAGAAGTATGCGCAGTTCGTGGCGAAGACGGGCGGTGGTGAGGAGAAGGAGGAGGGCCAGAAGAAGAAGCAGGAGAAGCCGAAGCAGGAGAAGAAGAAGGAGCAGCCGAAGAAGGAGGAGAAGGAGGCGCCCGAGGAGTTGGACGCCGCCGAGCAGGCTCTGCTCGAGGAGCCCAAGTCCAAGGATCCCTTCGACAACATGCCCAAGGGCACCTTCAACATGGACGACTTCAAGCGCTTCTACTCCAATGAGGACGAGGCCAAGTCCATTCCCTACTTCTGGGAGAAGTTCGATTCCGAGAATTACTCCATCTGGTTCGGCGAATACAAATACAACGAGGAACTGACGAAGGTGTTCATGAGCTGCAATCTGATCACCGGCATGTTCCAGCGCCTCGACAAGATGCGCAAGCAAGCCTTCGCGTCCGTGTGCCTGTTCGGCGAGGATGGCAACAGCACGATTTCCGGCGTGTGGGTGTGGCGCGGCCAGGATTTGGCCTTCGAGCTCAGCCCAGACTGGCAGATCGACTATGATTGCTATGCCTGGAAGAAATTGGATCCCGCAGCTGGCGAGACCAAGGATCTGGTGGCGCAATACTTCTCGTGGGCGGGCGCCGACAAGGCTGGCCGCAAATTCAACCAGGGGAAGGTCTTCAAATAAACAATTTCTTGTTGCTTTACGGGAAATAACACAACCACTATAACTCTAAAATCGGACGGTTTTCTTCTTGTCCTAATTCGCTGAGATTAAACATTTCGCACTTTTCTAAGGAAATTTTTGCAATATGAATGTTGCTTGCTCTGAAATTGCATTTTATTTTGACGAAAAAAAATCCTATAAGAATCATGTTTTCTCCACGGCCGGCGGGCAGATTTGGAAAAGTCTCCAAAACAAGAAGTCTCCGAGTGGTAGAAAGCGCAAACAGTGGCAGCACTAGTAGTTTCTTTCACGTTTTGCTGCGCTGTCGACTAAGGAGTTTTCTCTCCTATTTTCGCCTAAAATCAAGGTATTTCTGCAATTTCCCGTCTCAATATTGATGAAATAATAGTTCAGGGATATTTGTCTGCTCGTTTAAGTTAAATCTGGGCACAAATATGCCTGGGAAATGTGTGGAAGTGGCAAGAAAATATGTGTCTGTTTCTCTTAACCTCAATCTAATGCTGACGTTTCCAATGCAGGAAAATCCACGAAAAGATGCCTGGTTTCGAGGAAATAAAGTCATCGTGGGCCGATGAGGTGGAATTGGAGTCCGGATCACTGCCGCCGCCGTCTGAGGTGTTTGAGAATGGCAATAAAGTCGTGACGGAGTACAAGTTCAATGATGACGACAAGAAGTGCAAAGTTGTGCGCACGTACAAGATCAGCAAGCAAGTTGTGCCACGCAGTGTGGCCAAGAGGAAGACGCTGACCAAGTTTGGGGACTCCGCCAAGGACAAGCCTGGCCCCAATCCGCACACGACGATGGTGGGTGAGGACACGTACATGCAGTTCATCACGAACAAGGAGGAGGAGAAGTCTGCCGACAACATGCTGGATCCGCTGAAGAGCATTGCCAAGTGTCGTATCTGCAACGGCGAGCATTGGTCGGTGAATTGTCCGTTCAAGGGCACGCTGATGGACACGGGCAAGCTGATGGACGCCAAGCAGCCGACGAGCACCGGTCAGGAGCCCACCGGCTCCAAGACGGGCAAATATGTGCCGCCGTTCATGAAGGACAACCAGAAGGGGCTGACAATGCGCGGCCGCGACGACACCACAGCTATTCGCATCTCCAACTTGTCCGAGTCCATGGTGGAGTCCGATCTGGAGGAGTTGGTGAAGAAGTTTGGGCCGCACAACAAAATGTACTTGGCCAGGGACAAGGTGAGGCTCCGCAGTTGGCCTTAAACTGCTCAATGGGGCGCTAATGTCGTGTGATTTGTCTTCCAGAATACCGGACTGTGCAAGGGATTCGCGTATGTCCACTTCAAATCGCGCCGGGACGCCGCCAGTGCCATTGAACATCTCAATGGGCACGGCTATGATCATCTCATTCTCAATGCCGAGTGGTCCAAGCCTCAAAATAACAACTAAGCGTATGTATATGACCTAAATTTATGGTATTTCTTCCCATTTGCAAACGATAATAATAATAATAAAACCTGCGGATTGATTCCGAGATGAAGAGATTTTATCCAATAGATCAGATTGTCAACAAATATTTTATTTTACCTAAATGAAACATTTGAAAATAACTGGTGCATGTCTAGAAACTGTTCTTTCGCAAGCCTATCCGCGGCGGAGCGCTCAATTGCAGCACCGCGGATGAGTGCGAATGGCCATTGAGTGGTGAATTTGGTGGCATGTCCAGCTGTGGCGTCGCCGTGTGCATCATGTCGCTTCTGGCCACGGCCAAGCCGCACCGAGGGCACTGGAGGGCGTCTCTGTTGTCCGTCTTGACGGCCACCAGGCACTCCTCGTGCACAGCATGGCCACAGCTCCCGAAGATCACCACGGAATCGTGATTCTGACTTCGCAGTCTCAGGCGACAGGAGACACACTTGATGGACTTCACGGCGAGACCACGGCTGGCGAGGCGCTTCTCCTTGGCCAGCAGATTGTGGAGGTCTGTGCCCAGCACGCGGGCAGTCGTCTGCAGCAGGATGGTCTCGTACTGGGAATTGGACAGCATGCCCAGCAGTAAGTGCTTGATGTCGCCAAAATTGCCCGTCTTTGTGCCAGATGTGAGCACCAATTGGACCAATTTGGACAGATCCACGTAGTTTCCGGCCGCATGGAGGATGTTCTTGGTGATGGACGTGAGATCTGCCCGCGTGAGAATGACGCGCAGCAGACAGAACCACAAATCCTCCCTCTCGTTCTCCGGCAGCACTTCAGAGGCGCGCGAACAGAGCGCTGACACTTGCATGGCTGACGACTCGGCGACACTCTCGGGCGCCTCTTTCAGCAATTCCAGCGCAATGTTGAAGGCCGACTGGAAGTCACCCTGCTTCTCGTGGATCAGCATGCACGCCTCATTGAGCTGATGACCCTTGACCAGCTCCAGCACCACATCGAGACGGTATTTGTCGTGGGAAAGCAGAAAGGCGTTCACATTCTCGGGATTGAATTGACACAGCAGAGCGATAAAGTGCTCACAATCCTCCGTCTCAAGTGGCCATCCGTTTTTCAGGAGATTGTCCAGGAACACGTACACTTGCCTCTTGTTCCCATTCACCAGCTTTATCAGCGAATTCACCGTGGATCCGAAACTGTCCACCACAACGCGCACAATCTCCTCGGCATTGATGTCCAGCAGTTGCGGAAAGTGGGTGTAAATCTGATGGTGGATCTTCCTATTGGGCACACCGGCAAATCTCCGGATGTACGTGAACATCTCCTCGTGCCTGACCGAATCCTGCAAGTAGCACTGCAGGATGTCGTCGAATCTCTGCGTCTGCTCGTAGAGATACTCCATGACGCGATAGCAATGGCTCTGCTCAGCCATTCGCATCATCTCGTGGAGTGGAATGTGATTCAGGCAGTTGGCATTGAGGAGCTCCAGCCACGCCTGCTCGCGCTCAAAGTGCAGCCGTGAGTTCTCACTCTGGCGCATTCGCAGGTAGTTCACCACACTCTCCAGCATCGCCTCATCCTCGGGCAGACTGTGAGAGGCGATCTGCTGCGAGATGAAGTGATACAGACAGCCAATCTCCAGCGATGTCGAGTGCTCAGGCGACACAATCTCCAAGAGGATGTTGACGATTCTCTGGCGATGTGAGGCGCCAAGTTCTCCGGAGAACTCCTTCTCCTGGAACGCCAGTGAGATGACGTTCAGTGTCTCGCGCACGTCGAAGTTCAGGAGTGTCCGGAGATAGGGATAGGGCAGCTCTGAGTCATCTGCGCCATTTGAGTGGATTGTGGTGAGACAGCGAAGAACCTCGTGCTTCACCGTGAGCACCATGGATGGATCGATGTCGCCACTGGGATAGTATCTTCCCGCCAGACAGCTGGACACGTACACGAGCAGATAGTTGCCCAGAGTGGGATTCGCACTGCTCACGAGCGGAATGAGTTCAGTCAGTGACACGGTGTAGTCGCCGAGGGCTTTGGTATTGAGATGCATCTGCGCCCGGTACAGCTTCTCCCTCTTCGCAATGGTTAATACTTGATGGAGGTCCAGGCACTGCCAGTCCAGGCGCAGAATCAGCTCCTCCAATCGCTGCGTGGAGATGCTGAGCCAGTAGTCGCAGAGGCTCTGAGCCACGCACGGAGACACTCTCTGGATCTCTCCGCTCTCCACGTGCTCAGTGAGAAGACTGAGGAAGTAGTCGTGATTCACCAGGCGATCCCACAACTCCTCCCACAGCAGGTCAGTCTCGCCAATCTCTATCAGACACTTCATCACGGCGTCCAGGCAGTGTTCCGGATTGCGACTTGTGCCCGCGATGTATTCCTCCATGAGCTGCAGAATGCGCTTCTTCGTCACTGCCTGACGCCTGGGGCGCTCGCGGAGTGATCTGTAGCCCTCAATGGAGAGATCAATGGCTTCTGCCCACTTCTGATTCGCCACCAGATGTGATATTCTGTCCACCCACGCTCTGATGCTGACCGCTTGCAGACTCCGTGCGCCCAGGATGTACAGCAAATTGCCACGGCTCACGACGGAGTTGTAGCACGCCATTGAGCCGGCCAGGGCGAGAGCCGGAGAGACATTTCCTCCCGTCGCCAGTGCTTTGAACTGCGCCGAGTTGTACACCAAGCCCGCCGAGACCATGTCCAGGCAATCCAGCTCTTTGCTCGTTCGCACGTCCATCAAATGCAGCACTTCCGAGCGATCCACCACGGCGATGGACTTGGGTCCCAGCCAGTGCAGCGACAGGAGGCTGTAGGAGAGTGTGATGTGGCGCAGGAACAGCAGAGACACGCGTCCTGAGGACACAGTGACCTGGTGGAAAAACAGCTGGTTGCCACGCGCCGCCGCCAGCACGGGATCGACTGTCCTCGAGGCGTCCGCCGCCTGGATGAGCACCATTTGCCACGCCAACAGTGGCAGGCAGTCTGGCGGGCCGGCCAGCGGCTGGAATTTGATGATCTTCAGTCTTGGACGAATGGTGACCACGAAGAACTTGGACAGCGTGGCCAGGGCGACTATTGTGAAGGTCTTCAGCGGATGATCGAGCTCATTCACCACCAGTGGCTCCACTGCGCACACCTCGCCGCGGGCGCCGCTGAACAGGCAGCGCGAGTCGCATCCGCGGATGCCCAGGCGGCGCGTGAAGTTGAAGGACCACACGGAGCCGCCGGAGTCGGAGCACAGAGCACCCTTGCCGATCCACTTGAGGTGCAGGACGCCTGCGTTTGGCGTGATGACGTCGGGCAGGGAGCGAATGGTGTCTCCCGAGGCTGTGTCGATCATCACCACGTGTCCGCGAGCGTAGCCGGCGAGGAGTCGAGTGGAGGTGTCGTTGAAGGCCAGAGACGACACAGCGCCCTGGGCAGTGTGATCCCGGCAGCACCAGCGGAGAGTCTGATTGATGTCGAAGGCCAGAACGTGGCCGTGAGACGTGCCGACGGCAATCATGTCCTGGACAGCCACTGAAGATGCCAAACCGGCTCCCACACGGTCCTGCAAAGGGCGAGGAAAATGGCTCACAGTGAGAGAATTCTGGATTGCCTGCGGGATTCTTGACTTACAGCTGCTGAGGAGACTTGCGTCGTCACGCCCTGCAGCACGACGTGACGCAACAGGGAGCCGATGCGTGGCTGCTCGTCCATAGAGATGCAAATTGAGGGCGACGGAGTGACGGGAATGCCCAGATCCGAGGTGGATCCATCGTCGAAGTCCAGATCGTTCAGAACACTCTCCAGCGTCGGCATTGTCTCCACAGCTGGCAGGGAGTACTCCGCATCGTCCAGCTGTGTTGGGAAAAAAGGGGAAAAATGAAGATGAATCAGCGGAGATATCGCGATAAGTCTCCGCTATCATTGGCCGCTGATATGAGACGTGGGAGTGGGAGATAGTGTGATATGAGAGAGGTTTGTTTTGATTGCTGCACCGAGATCACTGGTGAGGAACATTTTGGTCATCTTTCACACTCCACTGACACTCATTGTGCGTCTCTGCGTGCACTAAACGCCCCCAAAAGCCCCAGACATTTGGTGAAAATTGAGAAGAAAAAAGATCCCCGCGCTCACCTCTTCGATGTCAAAGTCGAGGGACTCCGCCAGGAGACTATCACTCGATCCTCGATCCGACTCCAGAGACTGCAGAGACGGCGCCTTGAGGGTATTCATCGCGAGAGACGGGCGCTAATCCGATCTACAACTCAACCATTTGGTGTAATTGCACACGTATTTCAAATAACACAATTATTTACTTTTGCACTCTGGATTCGACTGTGTGAAGTTTTTACCTCGACTTTTTTGACATATATTGCGCGCTCAGCGCTCGCTGCGGCGGACACTGCAAAGTCCAGTAGAAGCTTTTGAACATCAACCGGGTGGAGCACTTTTGCTGCAAAAACATTTGATTTTGGGTGGCGAAAGAAAAGCTAAAAAGGTTAATATAAACATTTCACTTATATTTAATTCAAGTATATCCTTATTACATATACACAGTACAAAAATGAATATTCGTAATGAAGCCATTTTAGTCAATGCGCACACAATTTCCTCTCACAGTCTTCTCTCGTTCACCAAAGGTTCTTGTTTCTTATATTCTGTTTTTTTTTTTTCACCAAAATCTCGTGTTATCATTTGATCTGGCAAAGGATATCAAATCTTTAAGACTTCCAATATTACATCATTAGATGATAATTCATACGCGACTACAATATTTGATCTCATGTTGACATGTTTCTGGGTTTCATTTATTACACTTTTCTTCCCTTTTCACAAAATTTATCCTGAAGAATGTGATTTGCATTTTTATTTAATGTTTCGTTTAAAGGAAATCTACTGTGATTTTGATGATTTTTCTGTAATTTCTCTCCTCTAAATTCATCAAATCCACAGTAAATGTTCCTTTTTTCTCTCTTTCATATTCATAATACACGAGAAAAATGTACGACTTCATTGTATATTTTAAATAGTTTGCTTCTTATCTCATAGGATCATTGCGCAGAGACAAATTGTTGCGTCTCAAGGATTCTGTTTTCCTTCTCAAAACACGACATTTTGCTCGCACTTTCTCCCAATACTTTTTTTTACTTTATTAAAAGCCCTCCTGCAGAGGCGAAAGGAAATTCTTCTCCTTCGCCAAAATGCACTTGAGCGACTATATATTTTTTTTGTTTCTAGTAAATGTTTTATCATCATTTTGTTATCAATCATGAGAATTCCATTTTTTTTCTTCTACCTTCTAATTTCTCGGTTCAGTTCAATGTTTTTTTTTTAATCATTTCTTTTCTTCTTTTATACAAAAATGCTCTTATATATCTCTTCTTTTCCATTTATAATTATTTATTTACTCAGGACGAGAGAAATAAAAACTGTTTTCTTCTTTTCTTTTCTTTATATTGCAACTACATCTGGCAAAATGAAATGTCTCAGCATCTGCGAATTGTAACACAATTCTCAATATCACACACGTGGATTTGATAAATTCTATTTGATTGGTTTGCAAGTGGTTCATTTTATGAATGAAAAAAAAATTAGAACAAAAGGGCAAAGAAAAATTACTGTTTTTCTCCAAGAATTCAACATAATCATTTTGACAAAGAACAAAAAATAAAACAATAACAAATTTGATCTCTCAACTGATGATATTTCACCACGAAACGAATGGGGCAAATTGATATGATTTCAATGAATGAATTTAGGGAAATATTATTGAGATAAAAGAAAAACTATTGGCATTTTGTGAAAATTATCATCTTCTTCGCTACGAACGTGATTAGAAATTACAACAACTGGTCGGCGGGTATTTTGTGAAGAAATTACTTGTTTTCACTTCTTTCTCTCTTTCACACATCCACAATTTCTCTGTATTTTCGTTGTTTTTCCATTTACTTTTTCATATCCATGAAATGTTCTTGTTTTCTCTCTCGCGTCCTTTAACTTACATACAGTTTTTTCTTCTTCTTTTTTTCTTCCTTAAGTGTATTAGAAATAATTTACTTGTTGATATTTTCAGTATGAATTGTCGTTTGCAATGGTTTTTCAAAAACAATATTTTTTTTTTAAATAAAATTCAGAAAGAAAATCTCATCCATTTCCCGCTCATTGAAAAAATCGCGCGCACACAATTTTCTTTTTTCTTCCTACAAACTAGATTCATTTCTCAGTACATTTCTAATTAATTCACTATTGGAGTTTCTCCTCTTGTACACAAAAGGAAGTTTTTTATTTGCAATAAATTTTGGCGTTATAACCAAGAAACATGAAGTCTTATCGTGTGTTTTATTTATTAAATCACTATTTTTCTCTTTCTCCTCTCTTTCTGTCACATATTTTCCAATGAACGAGAAATTCATTTATTTTTCCTCTATTTTTTTCTCCCTCTCCGACTAAGTCTGTTAGCATTTGTTTTTACTTCTTTCTCTTCATTCACAAAAATAAACTTACTTACAATACTCACTACAATTCTACATCATTTTGCTTGTATGAGATCATCTTTTTTGTGTGTGTGTTTCTTTCGCAACTTTTTTTCGCCTAATCAAATTCAAAAAATTCTCCCTTATTTTCTTTCAACTACACAGATTTTCACCCCCTCCCCAACCCCCCGCCCACCGGCGTTTAGAGTAGAAAGAAGTTAATCATAGTGATTATGATGCAAGGCAATCAGAGCATATAGTTGAATTTGATTATTAATCTTGTTATTTATGAATTGAAGTTAAGTAATAAATGGTCGAAATAGTCGTGTTTGTTTATTTTCCTTCTACAAATGTGACTTTTTTCCTTCTTCTTTCCATCGTGATTTCTCATTACATTTACAAGAAATAGGTACTATTTTTTATCATCATCATTTCTGGTTTCTGTTTATCATTATCCATATTTTTTTTTATGTATATTTCCTATTAATACATTTATTCCATAGAAATGCATCTTTAAGTGTTTCTCTTTTTTTCTGCTCTGACTTCAAAATGTAACTCCTGAAAATCCTTCTTTTCTCCTTTCACAAATATTTTTTCTTTCCTTCTTTCTTTCATTAAGTCTTTCCACTCAAATCCAGCACAATGTTTTTCTTATCTCTTCTCTCTCTCTCTCTATATTCATTTGGGGATATCAATATAAGATTGATATTTTTGGCTTTGAGTTCATATAATTTAAACATTAGTTGCTCTCTTTGTTTTTCCTTTATCATCTCGATTTTTTTCTTCTTTTCATAAATATACCTTTTTTTTGTTATCATAGAGATTAAATGAAAATTGCAATTTGCAAATTAAAAAAAAATTGCATTGGAACCAATTGAATTTATACGTTTTTTTTCTCTCTTCTTTTTCTCACAAATAATAATTAACAGGAGAAAAATATATGAATTGTATTTAAAAATATCATTATATATATGTATGTATATACAATAAATTACGTAGTCACGATCTCATCTCTATCATAATTACATTGTAGTTTTCTTTTCTCTTTCTTTTTTTTACTATTAATTAATATCACAAAGCATCCAGACGAATTGATTCACAAACAATTTTGTGAATTAACTTCCTTTTCTTCTCACTTCTTCAGCTGCTATTCCATCTCTTCCTTCACTTCATATTATATATAAATAGACTCAGAGTTCACACACCTTTTCCCCCCACGTCCTAGTTTCAATTGGCCAAACGATCCTCAGCCTCCTCCTTGATCTCCTTCTTGATCGGCACCTCCTTCTTGATTTCAAACGCCTGACTCTCCGTGACACGCTGATTGAGAGCGTACGAGAGACACCCAATGGCATCCTTCACCGCATGGTAAATGATATTCTTGATCTGCAGCTTGTCTTCATGATTTGAGTGTGTGTCAGTGAGATTGCGAAATTCTTGTGTGAGATCGAAGCACTTTGTCACATTTTCCGGCGACACAAAGTCCTGCGCCACCTTGATGCAATTGTGCAAATTGCGCACCTGATGCGGCGCCCCGGCGGGAATGAACACCGCATCGCCCAGACACTGGGCAATCGGATATCCCTCCACGCCGTACTCCTTGTACAGCCTCTCCCGCAGCGGCCCGTCAAGATACCACGCCTGATCGTGAATGGGATCATGATGGGGCTCGAGACAGTAGCCCTTCTCCAGCGTGATCTTATTCAGCAAGTCGCGTATCTTGTCAGCATCTCGCGGCGCATAGATGTGCCACAGAGCGCCCGGCAGTTCACCCTTGTCGCGCACACGGCGCTTCGTCAGGATATCACATCCCGCCTCATCGATGGCACGAAACGCCGCCTTGATCGTCTCCTCCTCGTCCGTGTCCTTCGGTATGCCAACGTACATCATCAAATTCACCGCATCCGAGATGTCCAAGTGGAGATTTGTCGTGCCCTTGGACGGATACAGTGCCGATCCGTAGGCATTGTACATTTTGGGCCCCAAATCCGGACGCACAAAGCAATCTGGCAGATGACCAGCCAAATTGAGACGCCCATTGCGCTGTGTGTATTCGGCCAGTGGCAGCGCCTTCATGAGATCAGCAAATCTGCTCGGTAGCATTTCAGCAAAATCCTCACCCGGTGGCCAATCCTTCAGCTTCAGCAGCATCGGTTGTCCCTTTTCAGTCTTGAGACGCTTGTTAATGTACTCAAAGCCATCCCAGAATTTCCTCATCTGCTGATTCGCCACCAATTTCCCATTCAGACAATTCACCAGATCATTCTTCTCGTCACCAAAGTCACGCGAAAATGACTCTGGCAGCCAAAGATCCGGTGTGAGTCTCTTGGCCACGTCAGACACCAGAACAGGCTGAGCACGTCGCCATTGCTCCTGGAATATCTTAATGTTGTTCGGCGCCGCGGGATCCATCAGGCGCAAGAGTTTGCCATCACAGAGCCAACTGTGCGGCACATCGGGATACATTGACTTGGACTCCACCATTGTCATGATGCGAATCGGCACGTTGTTGAACACTTTCCGGTCCTTGCCAGAGACATAGTGTGCATTCTGGAATTGCTCCATCAACGGATCTCGCTGGTCAGTGAGTGCATCCGCAATGGCCGTATCGAGATTCTCCGTCAGGACATCTTTTGTCGGCTTCCCAACCGGCGAACTCGTTCGACTGCCATTCAATTTACCCGATGGCCGAATGAGCAACTCTCTCAGGGTCGAATGCGATGGATCGTCTGAATCTGAGTCATTGGGATTCTCACGCTTCTCCCCACCATCCTTGGCACCATTCTTCTTCACCTCATTCTGCAATGCCACTTCCGCCAACCACGACAGTGCTGATGAATTATTGTCCTCCTGCTTGATGGAACCATTCGAAAAAGTGCCCTCAATTTTCACCTCCTTCTTTATGCCATTCACATCGTTCTTCAGGAGACGCTTTATGTACTCCTTGCACACACCATTTGTCGCCTTCGAGTGTTGCTCCACCATCAGTGTGCAGCCACAGAATGACGGAATATTCCACATTGATCTCACCTCGTGCATTTGACGCGTGAGCACTTGAAGGGAATCACCAGCTATTATCTGTGTCAGCATCAACTTCTCCTGCTCATGAATGGCCTTATTTGTGCACAGCAACCACGAAAAGTCATCACGATCCTTGCCACCAATTTCACCCCAAGTCTTGTCAGATCCATGCTTTCGGCCCTGCAAATGCAAAACACCCAAAAGAGATTAGAGAGTTAAGAAAAATCTACAGACAAAGAATAATAGCCATAAGAATGTATATTCCTTACCTTGTAGCAATCAATGCAGACAACGAAGCCACACTTGTTGCAAGCCCAGTGGAAATTGAACAGTGTAGTCTCACACACATCACACATCTCCCGGACGCCCTGAACAACACGCTTCCATGCGATGGTTTTGTCTGTGAATTCAAATGGGGGTAAAATCATTAATTTAATGTTCAAAATACATTATCAAATAGTCTTTGTTGTCTGATATTAGTGTTGAACTTTATAATCCATTAAATAAAAATCAAATTCCACGTGAAATTATTGCCATATAAATTTGGGGAAATTCATTTAGCATATTGCGCGCTGTGCAGAAAAGTTAATCCACTAATTATGACTACAATATATAGCTGCAGAATATCTGTAGTCTTTCACTCTTTATCACCAAATATTAAATGTTAATTGGCAAGTATTATTTCATCAGACAACATTTTGCACATATGACAATGTTTGTTGTTTTTTTTTCTTCTCTGCATCCCCTTTTATGTAATCCTGTTCCGTTGCATTGTCATTATTCCAAAATTCAATATTTTCACCACGGGGCAAAATAGCTTTTATGAAATTCAATGCCATACGTAAAAAAACACCCCTTCAACTAGACTTTTTGTTGAACAATATCGAATTCTATCTCTTAGCCATATATTATTTTTTTAATCACAAAGTCCAGCGTAAACATGAGAATTCATTTGATAATATTCACACAATTGAACCATTGAATTGTCAAATGATAGGCAATGAATGCGAACTCACCGTCTGCCATATGCTCAGCCATTGCTTCCTTCTCCTGATGCACCAGATCGCAGAATTGGTCAGCAACGTAGGCGAGCAGAAATCGTGCTCCTTGCAAGTCCAGCACAGAAGGTGGACTGTCGGCATCGGGAATCCACAGCTTCAAGTCCTCCTCCTTCGGATCTTTGTAGGGATCCGAGAAGCCGGCAATAGCCAATTGACCATTCTTTGTGTATCTATTTTTAAAATCAAATTGGATATTATGAAAATCAAATTCCTCAAGCGTGAGAAGCAACAACATTTTCCCAACTCACCTCAAGCGACGAAAAGCATAGAAGCGACAAAATATGTTTGGTGTATTCTTGGATCGTTGATTTGGTGTCCAGCGACATTCTCGACATTTGGCCAATTTGGGCGCCACTTCGAAGCACGGACCGTCCTGCAGAAATGACTCTCCCGTCTTCTTCAGCTGCGATATGGGTGGCTTACAGAATGGGTCCCTCAGTGGATTCGTCTCGTCTTTTTGCTTTTTTTTAGTACTGTCGTAAGTTTCAATTAATCGATCACAGACCCCAACATTAAAGCTAATTCATTAATGCAAATTTTTACGCATGAATCTTCATCAATCTTTTTCTCTTTCTTTACAATCAAATTCAAAAAGAACCAAAACATTTGTAAAAAAAAAAACAACAGAGTGTAATCGAAATGAAACAGAAGAAAAGAAAAGTAGCACAAATCTCATATCTTATCATCTTATAAATAATAATATGAAGTAAAGAATAAAAATATATATATCAAACACAAATATTGTCATTACCTTGCTTCATCTTTTGCATTCTTTGGCCGTCGACCGCGCTTTCGTGGCTCCTTCACAATTGCCGAATTTGCTGCTGCACTGCCATTTGTCTTCTTCCCCAATGACGCACTCGTGCTATCGCTATCCTTATCAGATATGCTCTCCTTATCACTTTCACTGTCCTTATCACTTTCGCTCGCCTGCTGCTCGTGCATTCGAAACACCGAAAGGAGAAATTACTTAATTATTCCTCTGAATTTGAGCATCATTGTGAACCTGCAGTGACTATTAATTACTCACCCTCTTCTTTTTGCTCTCATCCGCATGCCTTCGCGCGCCACCCTTCCGTCGCTTCACCTTAATGGGTTTTCGCTTTGGAGGACTCTTCGGAGGACGTTCCTGCGGGGGAGGCAGCAAAGCACATATTATGTACACATGGTCATTAAATTCTCTCTATATATAGACACGGATATCAGTCTCTCTCTCTCTCTCTGATACATCAATTCTCGGAAATGTATATCCAATAAATCATATGACAAAAAGTCCCAATAAATTCTTTTTTTCTTGGGGATTAAACATGGATTCACATCCAGACAATTCACTGTCTGTTAACACATGTAATACAAACATATTCTTTACCTGATCTGAACTGGAACTATCCTCTTTCTGGTTGGAATCTGAATTGTGTCCATTGTCTCGACTGATGTTATTTTGATTGCTGACTGCACTCTTTTTTGGATGTTGATTTGTTTTACCTCCAGTAACTGCAAAATCAACAACACCATTATGAACAAACAAACAGAAAAAACACCCCCCAATCGAATGCAGATCGTATTTGTTACAAACATACCTAGAGTTTTGGTTTTGTTGATACTATTTATAGCCATAGTACCGACATTATGAATAGAATGCACTGTCGAGTGCGTTGTGGAATTCGTGGAAGCCACTGTTGTACTATGGCTATTAGTGGTCGATTGCTCACTATTGCTAATTGGGGTGGTATTGAGTGTCAGTGGTAGCTTTACACAGCTTCCACCGCCAGTTATGCCCGTGCTATCCTCCAAGTCTTCTCCTGTGTGGCGCTGAAGCCATGCCTTCTTCAAATGCCGCGGTGCGTTGGGTTTGGGGGCTGCAGGAGTGACAAGAGAAGTGTGTGTGAGAACTGAAGACTATATTGCCACAGACTACAAACAACAAAACTCACCAGGACTAGATGATTTCTCCGGCTCAGTGACAATTTTGGCTGGAGTCGCTGGAGAACTTCGCAATTCCGGACTGGGTGCCGGACTAGAGTTATCACTGAGTGCCGTACGGCTTGAGCCATCGGCCGAGTTCACTCGCACCGACGTGACCACAGAGTTGACTTTGTATGTCGCCGCCACCGTGACACTCGGGCTCTTCACATTATTCGCCACCTCCGTCGTCATGATGGTGACAGTGGGATTGATCCCATCAGGGAGCATTGGCTGTTTTGGCACTTTCGGCGCCTCCACGTAAGGAACTGTCGTGCTGGCAGTGACCAGAGGCGACGCCACCCTCTGATCCATCGGACTCACAGACATGGGTGGCGTCATCGTCGGCGGCTGCTGGGCATTCACATTCAGTGCCAGTGGCATGTTCTGCTGCTGCTGCTGCTGCTGCTGCTGCTGCTGCGGCAGGAGATAGTGTGACGGTGGCATTTGCTGAAGTGGCACCTGCTGCAGATAGTGCTGCTGCACCGAGTGATGCTTCACTGGAAGCGGTTGTGGCACCATTTCAGTCCTCTTCTTCTTCACTTCGCACTGCATCGGACTGCCCGTGGGCGCGCCCTTTCGCTTCGGCGACGTCTTGCTGTCATCGCGATTCCTGTCTGACACACCGAGATCCAGCGGTTGTGTCTGGAAGGAGTTGGACGCGGCCACTTGAACACTATTCGCGTGCTGTTGCGCAATCACAGGTAGCATCACTCCAGGTGACCTGGAGATGGGGAGCGGCGCTGCCGCCGCCGTCGGTGGAGATGTGCCGTGCATTGAGAGCGGCATGGACTGCTTCACAGCAGGAGCCGCAGTGAACATTCGTCCGTCGTAGAGAATGGAGCGGGACGAGTGTGCCGGCGGCGGTGGAACCGTCGGTGGGCCGTAGATGTGAGCATGGAATGGACTAGGCGACGATGCTTTCGACACCACGTGCACAGACGATTCCTGCGGTCGGCACACGGGAATTCCACTCACAATCCCAGCCCCACTGGGCTTCCCGTAGATGTGCGACGGCGCCGGGGATGACACCTTCGACTTACTCTGCACATGAACATGCTGCTGCGATTGCGGTTGCTGCACTTGAGGTGGTGGCTGTTGAACTTGTTGCACTTGCGGCGACTGCGATTGCTGCTGCTGCTGCTGCTGCTGCTGAGGCTGCTTCGTTACAGACACCGCATGTCCAAACGTTGACTGGGGTGATGCCATCACTGACACCGTCTGCTGCTTGTACCTATCATGAGGAGCTCCATGCTGCTGCGCCACACGATAGTCGTACATTATATGTGGCGTTGCACCGGCAGACACTGGAACACCACCAGAAACAGTCTTGTAGTGAGCCTGCTGCTGCTGCTGCTGCTTAGGTGTGTGCACAACTTGCATCGACGACTGCTTTATTGCATTCGTGTCGTGCTTCACAATAACACCCGTCGAATGTTTCACATCAGACATCAGAGGTGGTGGTGCTGGCAGAGACATTTCTTGTTTTGTCTACACAATAACCAAGCGTCGTCATATCCCACAAAGCCATATAACACAGCGCGCGCAGTGAGTGAGTGCCCGAGAAAGAGAGACGGAGAAAAAAATCACATTAATTATTACGATTTATGAAAGAAATGGCATTGAATCATTTATAGAGCAAAAAATACTTCACATACTCCACAACGATCGTATTACATTGCTTCTCCCATTCAAGGCATACTCATTATACACGCATAACGACAGAGATTTGTTACAGAATACAGTCGTCGGCTTTAAACATATAAAACCAATTTTTTTTTATTTCTCTCTCTCTATTTTGCAAACCCACACATTATCAGCCGAAACTGTCTCATATTTCTCGACATATTTTAAAAAAACGACATCAACTTTTGTATATATATATATATATAGCGAATGAAATTGCATTAAACATTATCTTATCGCTTCTGCTCAACAGCATAATATACCATTTCACTATGGTTACAAAATACACCATCCATTTTCCAAGAATTCAAACTTTAGCATTTATTGAAAAACATACTTTAGCGAATTACATTTCACCGAAGGAAAAAAGAAAACACGAAGCATAAAAAGGCTATCTCAAGGCAGCTTTATTTCATTATAGAAAAAAAGAAAAACGTGATAAGGTCTGGACTGCAAATTTTTAAGCCAATTTGTGTAAGAGCTAATAAATTGAAAATTGTTGTTTTTTTTCACTTTCTTACATCCCTGATTTATTCATTAATTTTCTTTTAAAGCCATTAATAGCAAAACTTTGCTTATTTATCCAATTAATTTCTTCCACATTTTCATCGTGATTGCAATTCAAGTCAAATAAAAAATGTATGAGAGAAAAACATGTCAGCACGATTTCTTCACAACACACAACAGCATGAAAGAAAATACACGATGTGTGTTTATATTAATTGAATGTATTTTATATAGAAAATAATATTGAAAATATATATTGCTTCTCAAAACACACAACAAGCTCAAACACTTCAAGTTCAAATGCAAAAATGTTTAGTCATAGTTTTGTAAAATATTTCATTACTCATCGTGATTTAGAGTGAAATCCGTGAAATCTAATAATATCCTTAATAACTCTTCTTTTTAATTGCTGTCATTTGATTTCAGAGACGACTAAATTCGCAGAATTCAACACCCTTCAATTCAAATATCACGATAATCCATTTACAATGCAAAATCTAACTTGACAAATGACGCAAAGTTGCCACAAATTCAATTATTGACTCGCTATTCACATCATCCAATCACTGACAAACAGCCATTGCAACTCACCTTAATATCCTTTTGAAATGCCGACGGAGGATAACCGGTAAAACCACTGTACAATGTAAATGGCTGATGTGTATTGAGATCCTTCATGGGACTTGCCTTCTCATCATCGCGTCTCACTTTGGGCGGTGGTGCAATCGAAATTCCCCGATGATAGTCAGTCGCACTTTTCGTCTGTGCTCGCTGAACCTGTAACATCAATAAGGAAAAGTTCTCAATGTGTGTGAATTGTCTGTCTCCTTAACAAAAAGGGAGAGAAGAAGTCTATAATTCTATCACAGAGAGAACAAAAGTAATTTCCTTAATGATAACACAGGTATTATTCAACTTGTTCCTTTTTGATCTCCTTTGGCTGACGCACTTTGGCAAACACACAAAGAAAAAAGACACCCTTCGTGTAATGAATATTGCACAATAAAGTGCACCACAGAGGGCAAGAAGGGCTTGAGTGTATAAACTTACCCCAGATTGCATGTAGTATGCCCTCTGTTGCTCCTGCTGCCGTAGGCGCTCTAGCTCCTTCTCACGCTCTCTCTCCCTTTCGCGCTCACGACTATCCCGATCCGCCACCGCTGCCACAATTCGCTCATGTTCCGCCATTCGCCGGCGCTTGTCCTCCTGATTTGGATCACTACTGCCACTTCCTCCCCCAGAAACGACGCCGCCGCCCGAGTTTCCCGTCACTACACTAACACTGCCATCCACAACCGACGTCTGGATGCCACTCACCGAGGGCACTATGTGCGCAGGTATACTGATGTGGGACAAGTGTGGAACTGGATTCTGTGGCGGGAGTGTGTTGAGCGTCCATGCCGAGTGCATATGCTGCAAAAGAGACAATACATATTGCTCAGGGATTACCTCTTTTCTCGTAATGGCAATTTCATCACATCACTTGTGGATACACATAATGCGCCTCCCGAGGCAATTTCATCTACCTGCCAGACATCTCATCTTAACGCACTTGTGTTTGCACTTCTCACGTGCCACTAAGTGCAGAAGAATTTCAACTCAATTGTTCATGCATATTTTATGGGAGAAATATATACAGAAATTAGATGAAACTTTAATGAAATATTTGTATATACCCAGAAATTATCGATCATTTACCTCATAACATATTTAAAGGTTAAACAGACTAAATACGTTTTCTTTTATTCCTTTATTTAATCATCATCAATTTTATTATACTCAGTTTCATCGAAATGATTAATAAAATATGAGGATTTATATTTCCCCAAATTATTATGCTTTTTCAAACATTTAATACACAATGTAGTCTAAGGAAGAAGAAAAAATTGTATCACAGTGGAAAACAACTCATTTACATATTGAAAAAAAAAACGTCTTCAAGGTTAATAGTGAAATACTACAGAAAATAAACGTGCTAGTGATTCAGCGGACAGAAAATTTAAACATCAATTCCGAGAATTTGTAGCTCAACGAGTATTATTGTGGGTAAAAAGCGAGAAAATATGTACTCTGTGTACCTCCCGAGGCATGGAATAGTTTTATTTTATTCTAAACACACAAATAGTTGAAATTCTTCACTCTTCTGATCAGAGCAAACACACACGGAGACGGTTAATAGGAGATGTCCCAGCATTTGCATAAATAAATACAGAAACAATTAAGCCACAACACTAAGCCGCCGGCATAATTTGTACAGATTTTGACTGCTCGTCTTTAACAGCCTTTTTTTTCTTCTCATCTACAGCAACTCTTGTTACTCAAGGAAGAATATCGCTCAAATTTTCATATCGACGGATGAATAGAAAACTATGAAAAGTCGATTTATCATAGTTTTCGTCTTCATGTATTTTTGAAAAGCTTTTTATTTGCTCTTTCTGTATAAAACTTTTGAGATTTGTATAAAATCTTATTTATCTAAAAAGCACAAATGGAAAAAAATTGTCATGTTTTCTGAATGAAAAGTCGAATTATTCATTGTTTACGCTGTACAATTTTTTCCATGAAAAATGTCTCAAAAATTGCAGTGAAACGTATAAAATATCTTTTCAGGAAATAATTTTAGATTTTCAGAATTATCTTAAAATGTTTTTTAGACTTTGATTGAATATTTATCATATCTTTTAATTTTTTATACTTGAAATCAACTTTAGAAAGTAATATTTTCCGATTTTCTATTAATTTTACCATATTTTAGCCAAAATTTCAATAAATATCAATAAAATATTTACAAAATAATTAATACAGAGCAATATTTGCACTTTAACGGACGATTTGAAGGTGTTTTGAGGGTTTTGAAGTAAATTTGGAAAATTTCGCAGCTGTAATAACGATAAATTTTGAACTTGCTGTGCTGAAAAATTGCGATTTTGGCTTTTCATAGTTTTCGATTCACCCGTCGAATATACAAGTGAATGAATTCTTTTACTTTCTGATGTCGCATTCTCAAACTTACACAAGAAGTCTCGCAACAAGATGCAAAGTCACAACTACTTGCCTATTTAACATAAAATGCTGATACCAAATATTTACCTTATCTTTAACATTACGAAGAGATTCCTCAAAGTGTTTGCTCACCGCCTGTTCGGCCGTCGTGCACGACTGCTTGTCCTGACGCTCGTGTGACTGTTGCTGCTGATGCTGCACTTGACGATCCATCCTCTCGCGTTCGATCTCCTTGTGTTTCTCACTTCCGCGATATTCAATATCTCGCCTCTCCCTGCAAATCAGACAGACAAAAAGAGATTCCCCAATTAGTTTGACTTCATTTACACCAAACACGGATGTGGGAATTTAATTCTCATATCATAAATAAGTATGATGTTTACTATCTCAGAAATGTATGACATCCTGTGCGTGTGTGTCTAAAGGAGAGCCATTTCTGTCAAGAACATACTGTGAAATTGCATTTTGCCATTGTATTTGTATAATATGACTTTTCTCTGCTATTAAAATATACATAAGCATATTATGTGTCCATTTGGATTGGAGCCAACATTTTCTCCTCTCATATCTCTACAATCCACTGACGAATAAGTGTTTTTACTTTCGTTCTGTCTATGTGTGTTTTTTTGCGAATTTCCCATAAATATAAATTCCACAAAGAATGAGAGATCAAGAGGATTTCATTTTGGCAGAGTTTTAAAGGCATTTCAATCTGCACTGCGTGTTGACAACTATACAAAAGACTTCTCAATGAATTCTTAGCATTTCTTCTTATATAAAAAGCATGTGATCAAATGTATAAAACATCATTTCAATTGAATTAATATATACCATTTATGTGAGATCTTGAACTGTCTTCTGATTTATTTCATCTGTATGGAAAAATAGAACCTCGAAAATGTGACAGAGTGAGATGAGGCAAAAAAATCAGAAAGATCTTTAGTCTTTTAGACATATAAAGTATTTATTTTATTCCCAAAACGAATTGAATGTGTGTTGTGAATAGCGATCACGCTTGTGATTCCTCAATTATTCCATTATGTACGCATTAATCTTTTATTATGTACTTGACACTAAATGAGAGTGAACATTTTATATACAATGCATTATTTTCAATCGACATGCAACATTTGGAATGAAAGACAACGACTGCCAACACATGCCATGTGCAAAATACACATTCAAAAAAATCTCTTTTACTGAAATTGTGAAGAGAAATTATTGCCGCAAATGTTAATTTAAACCTGAACATCACATAAAATGTTGTTCCCTGTACATGACTTTGTACTGTATTGATTATTATAAATTAATTTCACCACATACTGCAAAACTCATGTAGAGTTTGGCTCGAAAAGTCAAATATTATATGCACATTCTTAGACACAACATTGCACTTTACAGCGCCGGTACTTTATGCTCTTACTTCATTCTTCTATAGTGTGGACAACATAAAGATTACTATTTTTCTCTTCGTACATTTTCCATGAGTAAGAAAATACACATATTTTTGATTATTCATCTCATGATTATTAACACATACACATTATGAACATATAATATATGGTATATGAGCGTGACTTAACATATTGTACACATATTTTTAGCCTAAGTCACTGTAAAAGATTATAAAGTGAGTGAGAGGAGTGAAAATATTGAGTGCGGTTCACTTGATCACAGAGAGCAAAATATGTATACGCACTTAAGCACATTATATTAGCAATTATTTATAAAAGTAGAAGCATTTTATTGTGCCGTATACTTGGCATTTTTATATATCAACAACAATGCTTCACCACCATGTGCGGCACGAACGTCTATTACATTATGTATTGCTTATGTGCTGTATAATACTTATAATATGTTACGGTATATATTCACGCCTCACGGTTACTATTTTAGTGGAATGCTCAGAATTGTAATTATATGTAAATATCTGACACATAGAGTTATGTAAAAAATTTCTATTCTCATTTGCTAGTATTTACTAAAATGTTTGTATACAAACTTCTAGTCAAATTTAAGCTATATCTTTTTGGTTATTCCGTTTAGTGTACAGAAAAAAAGACAGAAATATCTCTTCAACCGTATATAATAAAGAGAAAAAAGTCAATTTGACGGGTGCCTTGAAGACTATCAAAAGTCAAATTCGCCATTTTTCAGTAGAGCGATTTGAAGTTTAAAAGAAAATATTGCTTTGAAATTTTACTAATTTTTTACATAAACTCCCCGTTATCTTCCAGTAAATTGATAATATTGCTCTATTCTATTTTTATGTAATATTTCCCAGATTATTCCACTGTTATTTGTTGAAATATTAACTAAAATACGGAAAGTTGATAGACGAATTGGAGAAATTTGGTACAATAAGTCGATTTTTGATAGTCTTCGTGTTCTTTTTCTTTCCAAACAATTCGTAAAAATCAACTTTTTAACATTTTTCCTGCCCATCTTGTTTCACACTTTCATCTTCCGTCTATAAACCGAAAGACACTCACGATGGATTTCTGGTCATTTCTGGATTTCTTGTTTTTTAAGTAAAATCTTATTTCTTTCATTTTTGCCGATGAACCCAATGTAATATTTTCACACGTGATAGAAGACTTTAAGATTAATCCAAAAACACATAAGACGTCAATTATCAAAAAACGACTTTCCATAGTTTTGGATTCACCCGTCGAATTGGAAATAGGAAAAACTAGCCACATATATATAATGCTTATTATCTTCGAAATAGATTTCACATAAGCATCTTGCTGTTTAGTTCTTGTTTCTCAAAACATGTGCTTTATATATTGATGATTTTCACACATAAGACCCACAATTCGTGTGACATTTTATCATCTCAGCACATTTTTTGCAAACGTTATCAAGACCGCAGTGCGATAAATGCCGACTCGTGTTTCCATACACAAGATTTTGCAACGTAATAAATTAGCCTCTTTTTTTCTGTCATGAGCCTCTTGAGATATGATACATTCACAATCGCATAGAAAAAAAGGCACAAACAAACACAATCTTTGTGACGCGTCTCTCTCTCACTAGATTGTTGTGCCAAGTGAAATGGAGTCAAGTCTCAAAGAATTAAACTGCTAATCAGACAGTATTGTTGTAAGATTATTTCATTAGCACTTTCAGTTGATATTCTCATTTTATGTCGTGGAATAATTGCAAATATTTCCTGTTACCCTGATAACACAAAATGTGTCGTATTTTTTTTTCTTGTGCTTCTCACACTTTATGGAATTCCATGTGTTTCTCACACTTTGCGTATTATTCTTTTTTTTACTCTTGTTTGTGACTCAAAAATAATTCCATGCAAATGCCCTTGAAATTCAATAACGTGATAAAGCTCTATAAAATATTATGGAACAGAGAAATAAAGCTTTTCAGTTCCTTTCTGATTCTGTGATTAAAATAAATTCCCAATTAATAGAGTGACATTATTTGAGGGGAAAAATTGAATTTTCCTTTTCACAACGTTCTTCCTTTGGTCAATTACAGTTTGCTTATTTGCGTATTTTCTCTATACCCATAAATTGTAGTCTCTAATCAGTCCAAATTTAAAACACATGCCCAACTTATTTATAGATTTATTGATTTTCCCCTGAATTCTCCCGTCCGGCAGACCGTACAAGAGTTTATTTTCAATTCTCAAGTTTAATTAATTTAGATCGTTCTAAATTTCATGCATGTTAAGTCATCGACCTCTAACTTAAATGGATCATACACACAAATTAACGACCAAAATGCACAAATCACATTCTCCACCTCTTTTTTTCTCTCTCTATTCACATGTTTCTTCTCGTCAGACCAAAATAACTCACACACTAATGCTTAACTGGCACGATTTCGCACAAGAAATGAAGAAAGATAAAATATATATATAGAGAATTGAATTATAATATGGCTTGTAGTAATTTTCCCCTCCTGTCCATCCTTCTTATCATCCAAATTCTTCCTCTTGTGTGTTGATTCTTCCCCTGTCCTTTTTGTCTCTCCGCCAAGTCACTCACCAGAATAATACTTTCATTTGAAAATGTTTATTTATGACTCACGGTATACATTTTTTTTCTACCTCTTTCGTCTCTACATAACAAATGTTTTTCATGCCTCTTTATGTATTTAAAAGGGAACGAGGTATTTCACAGTGGAGCTCAGAGACCCAGAAAAAAAGCCCCGAGAAAACATCACAAAAACACTCAATTGTGTAGAGAAATAGAAAAAAAAGAGTCAGTAAATAAAGTAGATATTTTGGTATGAGTATATCTACAAATATATATGTATATCTTACTTGGAAACTTGTTATTTATAGGTTCTTACATTTTACATATTTCTCCTTTTCTCTATTCGTGGCGCAATTCACATTTTAACACTTGAGTGCACAACTCATCGATGAATGTGCCATCGTTGGTTACGACTTAAATTTTCAATGAACTTTCACTTGAGCTTTTCCGGCGTCTGACATAAATTCTCTCTTGTTCAGCTATTACAATTCTTCACAACAATTAATAATAATATTTTCAATGTTACCACAAATATGTAATTCGACACATTCTGTGGGCTTTGCACTCAATATTAAATAATTGTTTGAAACCCTGAATTTGTAGGGGTAAATGGGGCAGCTTCAGATTGGGGCAGCTTCAGATTTCTTAATTTTCTCAGAGATTTTTACATGAATAAATTCCTGGTCTTCACACAATGTTTGTAGTCCTTAAGGACTACAATTGACGAAAATTTGCACAGGATTTGCCTTGACTGTTTAGAAAAAATAAGTGAAAATTGAAAATCACTCACAAACTAGAATTTTGCTGCCGAATTGATTGCGTGTTTTCTCCATTAAAAAAGCCACAATTCGCGTGAAACACAATCAAAGGTTCTTGAGAATTAAGTAGAGATTCTAAATATGCCCGAACTTTTCCTCCTGATCACGGCCTTTTCAGTGGGTGGTGGAAAATGCACAAACACTGCACACGGGGCAGTTTCGGATCGCCACGGACTGACAACAGCGCGCTCTGACAGTCTGACGCAACACCACGGTCGAAATTTTCTTGTGGCAAATATTGAAGATTTTTCACAAAGTGCCGTTCTGTGCTGCATTGCTTCATCACGTTAAACGACTTCTTAGTGGAAAAGTGAGAAAATACACGCGAAAATCAATCATCAATCGCGAAACATTTTGCGCGGAACTTTCACGGCGCGTCAAGTTGCCACCACTCACGCATGGTGGCGTTGCGACACAGGAAAAATGACGGGCAACTTGCTTTTCGCTCAGACATTTTGACAGTGCGTGCAAGGGTCCAGAAAAGTCGCGAAAATATTACTTTAAAGGCGATTTTTAGCGAAATAAACAGTTTCAGTGTGTAGAATAGATATCAAAGTGATCATTTGCCCGCGATTCTACAATTCCACAATGGAATTTATGGTAAATATAAGTGAAAATCTGAAACTGCCCCAGAGCAATCCGAAACATCCCCGTGCGGGGCAGTTTCAGATTAATTACAATATTCTTTTTAGTCTCCTTTAGAGGAAAAACCATCAGTTTTAATCCCCAATGAAAGGCATTTTCTGAAGCTCAATAGACGAGAGTTTATTTGAGCGTTGTGATTATTTCAATATATTCAGCCGATTTTTCAAGAAAAAATCCTAAAGTTGGAACAGCATTTCGAATCTGAAGCTGCCCCACTTACCCCTAACTGTTTTTCAATGCTATAAGAAAAATTTCGCTGATATTTCACACATATTGTAACATTATTTACTTCAGCGAGATGTGTTTGTTACATATATTTCTTATCTAATGGATATCACTCAACATCAACTTCAAAGTAGGTTTCCATTTTTGTGGTGGAGGTTCGCTATTTTTAAATGACGTACAATATAGGTCAAATGCCATTTTCAAAATTCTTATCAAAATTTAATTACAAACACCAGATTACCACGTTTTCCTTATATATTCCTCAAGTATATTTCAATTTAGTCATCGCCATTGTGAATTTACAAGGATTAGTAAACAGAATATTGCAGTAAATAACACACACAATATGTTTATACGCATAAGGCAATTTTAGGAGAGAAAAAAAACATTGCGGTTTTGAGTTTGGAACTGTATAATAATATTGTATGAGAAGTAGTAAATAAATGCATTCAATGTGATACAAAGTCATTATTCAGTGGAATGCAAAACATTGCAAGTCGATTGATTTTATATTAATCGATTCATAGGTGAATTTTGTCAATTTTTCACAATTGCAATCCATTCAACACACAAATAGTATTAAATTTTGAATTCAATCCATTTAATTTTTCGCATTTTTCCAACCACAATTCCAGAAAGAATATTTCAGTCATTTCAGTACCTAAACTGGTCACACAATATCGAGTTTCGTAGATCAAGTTTTTGCCCAGATCCACTTAAACTCGTTTGATTGCACTGGATGTCATGTTAGGCAATTAAATATTACAGTGTGACCAACATGGTTAAATAGCAAGAGAAGATACTTCACGATGTAGTTTCTCCTTCATTTCCACAATATACATATGTTGTGTTATGAAGTATTTACAACTAACGAGTTTTTCTCCACTTATTTATGTGATTTACTTCTCTTTTTTTTCTATTTATGCTCATTTCTCTCTCCTTTTATTTGTTTTCTCTCCCTTTTCTTTCACAAAATGTGCAATTCAAGTCAACCATTTTGTCAAAATGCACACAAAAGTTCAAATGACGCTTTTTTCTTCATGTACAAATTGTGAAATCAAACCCTAGAACGCATTTATGCATATGAATGAATCATTGATATAATGGATTTTCCATATTTCACAGAAAGAAATAGGTTGACAATTGAATACTTTCACAATACAACATTCCGTCTCTCTGTCTGCATCCTTGGAGTAAATCAACATAAGGTCGCGGTCACACTCAGCGACATGCAGTGCGAAAAATTATGGAAAATATTGAATTTTCCACTCATTTCTTTCCCCTCCACGTTAAGTCTTATGCAACATAGCAAATACGCACTTCATGGGAAAAGAGTGGAAAATATACATTTCTTCATAATTTTTCCTTCTGCACACAGAAGAAAAAGTCTCAATATGGCCGCGGCCTCAAATTTATCAAAATTGTGTTTTGCAAGAAAGGCCACATAAAGATGAAAAATTTATTATTATTATTATTATTATTATAGTCAAAGTGAATCTTAACACATACCAGGCTGAATAGGGAATGTGATATTTCATTCTACACTCTTTGCAGGCATTTTGAATGTCACCAGTGACGTCAGTATAATGATTCTCATCTGTAATTTATCCACACTCACACTTTTCCCAACTTATTCTCTCTCTCTTTCTTTCTCTCTCCTTCCCTCTGCCGATTGCCGTTTTCGTGTGATTCCACCACTAATTCTCCTCTCTTTATTCCATTGTCAAATGCACTAATGCACGCCACACATAAAGGGAATGATTATTATTTTCTATTCACATAACTCCTCTCTACTTCTTTCCTCACGTCCTTCAGCCACGACTTGTATATGAATTCTCTGCTTTTTTTTTATACCGAATATTCAATTTATAATGTCCTTCACAGTAAATTTAAGGTAATTTCTACCAAGTTCTCTTTCAATCTCTCTGTTAATTACTCAAACAAAATGAGCAAGTACTTTTATTTCTTCACCATCTATTTATATACATCAACTTCAAAAGAACACACAAATCACTTTTTAAGTATTGAGATGACGTCAACTCTCAGAGTTACAATGTTGGCTTCATAAGTTTTTTTTTCTTTTATTCCATTAATTGAATAAAATCTACTTTAGCGTCGTGCTTCTCACAACTTCACAAACACATTGGAGAGAAAAAGGTGCAAAAAAAATCACTTTACCGTGATCAATTGAATGAAATCTAAGCCAACAATTCTTCACAGATGGATTCAAAAGCTTCTCTCAAGGTGTTTAGGAACAGTTTTTAATCCTCATTAGCGCGCAATCGACGTCAATTAGCATTTTTAATGGGCCACACCACTCATTGTCTTCACACTAACAGTCTGGTAGCAATTGAATATATTTTAGATATCTTGTCGATAGAATCAAATGCACTGACACAGTCTTGTCCGAGTCAATCTTCTCACAAGAATCTTTTAAGAGAAATTTTTATTACTCCTATCGTGACTACGTACGAAAATTCACTTTACTCATTAATCGAAAATGCTTAAAAGTTACGTACTTAGGATGCAATTAATTTACGTCTAATTAACACACAATATTACTTCAGCTACACCTAGTAATCCCCATTGGGGTTGTTGGAAAAATGGGGGAAAAGAGGGTTCAACATACAAAAATTGTATGATTCACTCACAAAGCCAATGAACACTCAGGGAAAATCTATTCACTCTCTCTCTCTCTCTCTCTGTCTCTTTTCTCAATTCACATGAAATTTATAGAAAAAATCCACAAAATGGGATTCATACGTGGGGAAATCTTTCTCTAATGCACCAAATTATTATTTAATTTTGCCCTTAATTCACTGGATTTTTTCTTCTTTTCCCAAAAGATGTGCCTCTTTTCAACACACCTATTTACAAAACGTTCTTGCGTTTCACCTTCAACGGTTCGCGACCGACTGTTGAAATTCTATGAAACCGACCAGAGTGAAATGAAATAGTCATATATTACGGTTTGTGTGCTAAAGCAGTCGAGTATGATACTGTAAAAAAGGGATAGTGTGTGATTATATAAAGGCGAAATAAAGTACATTTATAATACATAAGGAGGACTTATACACTACCAATCTCCACATTATACACATTCTATACATATTGTTGCCAGCATTTTCAGTCATACCAATTGAATGAGGAAGAGAGCAAGAGGGGCGAAATTTCTTTTTCTTGCCACATCTCACTCTCACACACATCTCTCTTCTCTCTCTCTCTCTCTCTCGTCACATCGTTTTCCACACACGAAGGCATACAAGTGAGTTGATTTCAATTCATAATATAGTCATACGTTACACCACTATGACTACTCAACTCACATCACACATAGAGGCCACGGAGAAAAGTACGAAGAGAAAACAATTACATTTCATAATCATATCTCTTCATACATTTTTCATGTTGGAAGAGAGAAAAAAAATTAAACATATAGAAAAGACTCAAATACACAAGCATCACAGAAGGAAATAAACAAAATTGTACATTTTCCATGAAATAATTGGGAAGAGAAACTTCTCGGAAGCACACAGAAGAAGGAGAAAGACAGAATTTATTTTTAAAATATCTGGCCAGTAGCCAAATACATGTTTTTAAGTAGGAAAATGCAAATTTATTTTGAAAAACAAAAAAAGATAAACTCAGGATACCATTTCTCATCTCTACACTATATGTATAAAACGATATATAACACGAGAAATCACATTCTCTTTCCACTTTTTTTTCTTCTTTTACTAGGAAAAATAAGATTTAGCAGAGAAGATAAATTTTTGAGACAAACAATAAGAAACCTCAATAGCCGAAAAATATGGCAACAACAACAATAGCAAAAAAAAACATCCCATAAACTTGTGTCATTAAATGTTTGCATTACTATTTAAATATGACCGAATGATGTCACAATATTATTAAAATTGTAAACACGTTCCCATTCTTCGTCATGTCATTGAAAAGTATTATTTATACGCCACTTTATGTATAAATTTATTTATCTCCCTCTCTTTCTCTTTCGAATATACAGCAAAATATTTGCATTTTTCAATCAATATTCATATGATTGGAAAAAATATCTATTCTGCAAACCCTTTCAAGAACAAATCGTCCATTCAATGAACACCACTTAGATTGAGTACAATTGAGTGAACTTGACGAATAGCGATAGATGCACATAAACTAGTTTCAGAGCTTCACCTTCACTTTGTGATTAATGATAAAAATTCCCAATTTCAATCAATGCGTCAAAATCTCCTAACCATCGAATTTCCCTCAATTTCTGCTCAAAAATCCAATTCCCAATAACTCTATTATGGTTTTTTTTACAGTCTCTGGCTGATGAAATCACTGCCATTTTCAATTTCATCCACCGCTATTATACCCCAATTTTCAACTCTCAAGTGCAGAATTTTAAAATCAAAACGGGAAAGTGCTTCTGACCAACTTTCTGAAAAGAGATTTATATCAAAGTCAAGAGACAACAATAAAATGCTAATATCTCATGATAATTCCCAAAATACCTAATAAATATAAAATTAACTGTATTTTCCTCTCAACGTCTCTTTTTTTCTTCATTCTCACTGTTCTTTTATTTCATGACCGTTTTCGCATGTGAATATTTTATGTTATTACATACACTACAGTTTTTCTTTTTGCACAATAAACACCACTATGCACATATATATAGAGCTCACATTGCAGAGCGTATGAAATAAAATGAAATTAATGGAATTAAAAATGTTAAATTTCTTTTTCTCCTTTGTTTTTCTTCTTTTTCTTCTTTACACTCTGGCACAGAAATTAATAAAACACAAAAGAAAAACTAGAAGAGCTCATTCTATTTCTTTCACCTCTCTTTTGTTCTCTCTCTCTCTCAGATGTACAAGAAGAACTTGAGAGTGCTGTTCTGGCGAAATAAAAAAATCCCCTCATGATAATATTTTAAATATACATATATATATATATTTACCATACATTGTGTTATATGTTTTGCAAAGCAACTGTTTCATATTCATCTTTGAGGGAGAGCACACATATACAGGAAGAACAAGAACAAGTGAATAAAACACATTATTTATGGTAGAAAGCATAGATTGAGAGGCAAAATGCAGGCGATTAGAGGTGGAAAAGAGCAAGAGACATGTGTGTAGAGAGGAAAAATCGGTGATCGATTAATAATCTATCTGCTATTATATATTCACCGTCTCTTTCATTCGCTCTCTGCGCTCGTGCATATATATATATTGTATAACTTCATTTTTCATAGATATTTTCCCCATGACTCTCTCTCTGGCGGAGTTCACTGTTAAATACAACAAACCTATCTTTTCACGCATACATATGTGCGCATTGTTATGTACAAATTCCAAACCGAATAACATTTTCCGTTTTGGTCTTCTTCCCTTTTTTTTGCCACCCATTCCATATCGCTCCATCTCACTCACCCTTCTCCCTCTTCCCTCCCCCTCTTGCCAACCTCATGCCCACCACTTCTTGGCATTAATTTCTTGTCTATATTTTCCAACGTTCAAATCCCCCAAGTGGTGTGTTGTGTTGTGTTTTTTTTCTTCTTTATTCTTCTTACATTCTCCTTTGCTATAATACACATTTTGAAATAACATGTATATTGTGAAGGAACGCAGAAAGGCCATAGGATATAGTGAGTGGGAAAAATAGAAAGGAACGAAGGAAATCTCATACAGATTCGCTATGGCCAGAGTGAGAAGTAAAACTATAGTACATAAGGAGGTGCACTTAAAGTCCTCTAATTGTGGGTCTATTGAGCGCATGTGCAGAATAGCCGTGTGTCATGCATGTACATAATATATCTACATACATGTGATGTACAATAAATATTTGATTATGTCCCTATCCTCTTCTCTCTCTTCCATTTCCACACACACACACTCCATCCAGTCCCAGAATCGGCCATCGCGCGCAATAAAGAGACACACACACACTATATATAATCCTACTGATAAAATTTATGCACATAAATGTGGAACATTTCATAGTATTAATCTCAATTATAGCGCACTTATTATATCTACGTACATATTTTCAATGTGCCCATGCTACCGCGGTAGGACTCCACTCGAATTACATCCACGAATACTTGAAGTGCACGACACTTTTTGTTCACGTCACAATTTATGGGGCATATTCAATTCTTGCAACACCCTTCAAATATTATGCAAAGTGTACACAATTAAAATGTGCATTTAATGCCTCGTAAAATAGTAAATTACACTTCAAAACAAGCGAATTCGCAGAGTCTGCATTTCAAAAAAAACATCAGCCTTTTTTCTCCCAGACTACTTCCATGTGAAATGTAGTTTTCTGCCACATTGCGTGAAGATATCTTTCACAAGATTCGCACAACATATCAACATTGTCTCGCCAATACTTTCTCTTGCTCATCCATAACACTTTACCGTATCGATGAAACTCTCCTCACCCATTTTATTGTATTTCATTTTATTTTATTTACCCCAAACAGAGACTTTCAAAGTGAAAGATGGAACAAATCAAGACATGAATTTGAGGAGAAGGAAATTGCCAACAAAATCATTGCACATAGAATCAACACTAAACAGATTGCCTTTGAGAAATTATAGAATTTTCATTTCTCAATTCCCTGTTTATCAAAGAGAACATTAATATATCACACATTCCTTGGGGTGTTAAAAGTAAAACTATACGTTAGAATCTACGGAAGCATATGTCTCAAAATTCAGAAAGAAACACACACCACACATTTTCATGATTTCCGCCAAAACTATACAAGAGATGGTGTACACAACTAGCATATTGCATATGAAATTGTAATTATAATTTCGAATTCATTTGTATTGTCATAAAGTTCAGGCATAAATTTACATAAATGTTCAGTCTACCATGAATGGGTTTAGGAAACTCCTAAACATTTGATTTACTCTCATTATTCGCATCGTTATACTGCCAAAAGGCTCAAACTTTTCCAGGAGTTTCACTTCGAATCTCCAAAGGAGTTAATAACCAATAAAAGAGCCAAAATGAATGCATTATTAAATAAAAATCGAAATACACAACATATAATATTCCCATATTAACTTGTGTATTACATCATTTATTTGGTGATAACGTACTTGAGAAGCGCAGCAACGGTTATTCTATGGCTTTTGTGTAAATATATTTGCAACGAGTGAACTTTGAGAATGCGGTAAAAGGAACAGGGAAAATGCTAAAACTAAATGTAATATGAACAAATTTATGAGAAGAGTTGGAATTGAGGTAAAAGTAGTAGCAAAACTTCTCAGTATATTCACTCTTTCTCTCTCTCTCTCGCTCTCTTTCTCCCCTTCTCACTCCTCATCATTCAACAGAATTGGTCGTGAGTTGAAAACACGATCGAGTCTTTTGCCTTTAACGAAAATTTCTTCTTTGTGTCAATTGCCACATTTGTACACATGCCATAAAAAAAGGCAGATATCTTGAGATATACAAGATGCAGAAGAGAGAGAGAGATGGATTTTCCGTGTGAGTGAGCGAGATGAGAAGACATTAAGCTTCTCATACTGCGTATATGCATATAAAATAATATAATGATGATAATGTGGAGTGGAAATATAAGAATGTGCTGAATAAATGGATGGGTGAATATGATGTTAAATAAATACAGTAGAGTATATAGTGTGAGGAAAGCCATGACTGCTTTGCTTTTATATACAGATGAGGTACAATGATTGAATACATAAATATTTTGTACATTATTTCAGGTTGTCGACTAGGTGTGCGCGTAAGCAGATAACTACTTGGTAATTTATGTGTTATACCGACAGAATGAATATTAAATCCACTCTTGGAAGATTAATTTGAATGTATACCAAGATAACTGAGAAAATACTATTTGAAATATCATCAAGGCTATGCAATTCCTCAATTTTTTTTACAT